ACGCTGATGAAATGAACGACACGGAGGTGATGATTAAAAAAACTAAAATGTTTGCTCAATTTTTAGTTGTTGAAATTACAAAGTGTCATTATACCCTCGATGAGGAATCACATCAAAACCTTTGCTGGCACCAATATTCAAACTGGAAGGATTGAAACGGAAAGTAGCACAGAAATATGAATTCTGTGAACGGAGTTCATGAACAACGGGGTGTTTGCAAGGCACCAGTAGGAGACATGAGTTGAATATATGACGACCGACGTACACAACTCGTGGCAGCGACAATAAACATTCAGCTGACGTCAATCTATAAATACGGACACGTGTACGAGTAATGTTAATGGCATGTGCACAAGGCAGGGATGGGATGGTGTTTCATCATCATCCAACAGTGGATTGTGAGTGGCTGACGGCGATAGTGATCATCATGTTCTGTCAGCGTCGTGTGTTGAGGTGAAGAAAGAATCGGACTGACCCCGGGCAGCAGGAGAAACCGGTGGAGGAACAATTGCGACAAAGCAAACATTGTCCCGAATAAGCTCCTCTGGTCGCGAATTCCAGCACCCCCAGCAGCCATCAGGAGGGCCAGTAAGCAATGCGCTGCCCAACATCGTATCCAAACTGGCTCCGGGAGGTGCAAGTCACCTTCTCCACGATTGGAATTTATCTCCCAAATGTGACTCCCGCGCACCGTGACAATGGAACACTTTCAACTCATGTCTACTACGAGTCTGTGGGTCACTGTGTGAGTCCGTGGGTCTTTGTGTTAACTGATGTCTACCTGCAAGCCTATTAGTCTCTGTGGGTGTCTGTGTGAACTCATGTCTACTGCGTGAACTCCATACCTGTGAACCCATAGGGTTTACCCGTATTCTTGTACATGGAAATTGAGTTTTACGGTCCATATGGTGCACTGTCGTTTCAATATGGGCAGTTTTTTTTATTTGATTGTGTCTCCCTTGTGATGGGACTTTGTAGGATGAACGTTGAGATTTATAAGGGCACAGGGTGATCAATAAGGTCTGAATTGGTCTCTAATAAGGTAGGGCACTGATAAGGGGTTGACAGGTATGGAACTCATGTCTACTGCAAGCGTATGAGTCTCTGTGTGGGTCTGTGGGTCTCTGTGTGGGTCTCTGGTATGTGTGAACTCATGTCCACTGTGAGCTTTCTTTAAGGGTATGAGTGGAATTCAGTCTTTCTCCTCTGAAGCCAGCAGCGGATTTTACTTCTGAGACATCGTTGTTTTTGCTGCGACTCAATTCATATCCGTACAAAAGATGATTGAGATTATGACGTTTCCATTCGGAATCCTTCCAGGAAGCAGTGTATCACCTTGTGTGGAAGATAATGCCACAGATATACTTCTGAGGACACTTCTGTTGGCATCTATCCACAGTAGGCCACACATTTTAACGCCCTGCAAATATTTAATCACAATATAAAAAGGCAAATGTTCTAACTAACACAGTATTTCTCAGAGGCATGAATGTCCGTGATACCGAGGCGTGCAGCCAGGCTCAGGGCTCGGTGTCGCTCACAGAAGCCGAACTTTAGAGATGGAGCCTTCATCGGCGTCTCTTAAAAGTAGACACAGGTTGACTGATGTGATTGCGATCGGGGTGGCATTCAAGAGGGTGGGGGGAGGTGCACACACGACAACTTTTGTTTTTTAAATGTAAGATACATCAATATATGTTTCAGTCTCAGAATTTAAAGACCTAAAATTACGTTTAAAAGTGTCAATTTCTCATGGTAATGTTGTTTTATGCTCAATAATAATTGGAATGAGACCATATACTCGACTCTCCTTGAAACTAGGTTTCATTTGTAGGTAAGCCACCTGGACTATACGACGTTTATCAGTACAATACTCATAATCTTGTATTTCTTTTTATAACAACGGATATGGGGAGATACCGCTTAAAGCCATCCTCACTACACAATTTCATGAACGGCGCAGTTGACTTCTCTGACAGAGTCGCGGTAGGAACCCTCCACTGCATTTAAGTACAATACATGTTTCATGTAATTTACAAGCACGGGGTCAAAGTACGTGTGTTTTTTTTACCCCATGCAGAAAACAACAACGAAGCATTACACCGTGTGCTCAGTAAAACACCGTATCTGTTTAAGGACTCGAATGATACACTTGGCCACGTTACGAATGCCACCCAAAAGCATGAAGAATGGGCGCGAGACAAAAAAAGAACACTGGTGATGGAGCTTATCCAATACAAGCTGTGCGAATGTGAACCTGCCCTTGTCAATGTTTACTTCATACTAGTTTAGGCACCACGTTTGGTTCGGTTAAGAGGAAAACTTCACTCTGCCAGAATGACGAGGCGTGTTAAAATACAATTGCACAGCCCTACTGCTTTGCTGCGTGAGATTATAAGATAGTGACAGCAGCTGCAGCAGCGATCCCAGAAGGGGGCATCGGGACATGAGTCAGCGGCAAGGACCCCCTGTTGAGATCCTGGTTGATGATGGTTGTGGGTTGGTTGTCGTTGGCAAGAAAACGTGTCAAACGCCCCTGCGGTTCCGCGCGATGCCTATGTGGGATTTGTTTTGGCGGCAGGACGTTTGCCAGAACGGGGAGATTGGTGTCGCTTTCAGTGATCCGGCTATGATGCGCAACGGCGCTGCACTGATGGCTGCAGAGTTCCAAATGGAAATGTCTCTGTGCCATGACTTGATGCCGAAACCACAAATGGAACATAACTGGTGGGAAAAGGGAGGGGTGGGGGGGTCTGGTTGGAATTGGGGGAGCATACAAACAAATATTACTATAAAGTGAAACTTTAACGGAATGAAAAGTATTTGCTTTCTTAACAGAAAAGAAACAAAGTATGAGCGTAGCCCGTCTCAAGTTATGACCGCACAACAATGCGCCGTGTGTGTTTCTAATCCGCGGCGCGGTAATGTTCCACACTAAAAGCGGGCATTGTGTCCTCGGTGCATCGCTCTCATCGCTCGCCTCTTCAACAGCGCGCCAGCAGAGTAACCCACACCGTGGGGCTCGTTGTGTTGCAGGTGTAAGCCACACCGGGAAGGGCACACTGCTTGCCCCGGAGAGGTAAGTCGTGACAGAGAAGGCCCAGATAGCCCCACATTTTTGACGGGAGGACGTTTTGGTTTAAATAGCCCGAATGAAACGGGGGAGGGCGGACAAAACTCACCGTTCCACCACCGTGTCGCCATAAACGGACGGGCGACTTTTCAGGCGAGTAAAAAACCTGTCGAGACGCGTGTCCGAAAATGGAAAGACTTTATTTCTTACGCGCGGTCCCTACGGTTTGCCAGAGCGAAACGCAGAGCGTATTTAAGCGTTCGAAAATTAACACGTAATTCTCTTTTTTTAAGGGCCGTTTTGTTTTATTTTTTTAATTTTGCAAAGGGCGCTTCGAAAAATGTAGGCGATGTACGCTGGCGAGGGGCAACTATATTTAAGGCAAATTAAATATTAATTCGATGTCCATAAGAGTGTTTGAGATCTTCAGCGATAACAGATAAATGGCCTCTTCATATTTAATGAGCGGTGATTACTGGACCGTGCTTTGTTTTGTGTATTGAGTTTGTAAACGCCAACATCGAGGGAATTGTGGCCAATAACTAAACTTCCTTTCAACTGAGTTCGGGTAGGGCTCAGTTCATGTTCCTCTTGTATCACTTGAGGTTATACCAGACAATGACTTCTCTACTTAGTGATCAATCTGAAATCTACAATATGCTGAGAGCGTTACCATCATTGTTGTTCCTCTTTGCCTGTGACTCCTTGTCTCTAACCTATGTAGTCTTTTTCAGTTGTACCTTTATCTTTTATAGTTTCAGGAAAATATATCTTTCGATATCCATCTATATCTACTCTTTCGGTGGTTCCCATCATGAGTGTGTGCTGCTCTTTTGCACACCGTACCGAGGTGCAATTGATCATATATGCTACATGGATTTAAATGTCACTGTATTCTCTTGAAATACTATAATAATGTTGTTGCTGACAATGTATAAAGAAGTAACGGCAATGTTTTGTATTCATAAACTCTGCCTTGTCAGCGGGTATGAGACTTTGGGTAAGGTATGCTAGTGCAACAATATCTCTTGTTTTATCGTAGTTGCTGCAGGACAGGCTTCATGGCCTATACCACCAAGTGGCCGGGAACGAAGAACACAAATGATTCTGAAGATTATTCGAGTATTTTGAACCGAGTAAGGTTCTAGGAACTTGAAAAGAGTGGCAATGGGAGAGATTACGGCATTTAACGGGCGCAAGGCAAAACGGCACATGGGATAAGATAAGTTTTTTGTCCTACGCATTGTTAGTTGAGCAAAGCTTGGATAACAGGAAAGAGTGAATCTGATTCTGGCACCGTTCTTAAGCTTCTCGCTCTCAACAATTGGCTGAAAATATTTGAATATATAGAGCACTGCAGAGTTTGGGCAATTTTTGGTGCCAGTTCACCACTTGGCTGCCTTCCAGTTGGTCTGTGCTCTCTCAGCGATTGTGAGATGCAGTCAGCGTGAATGATGACGCTATATTAAACTAAATTTTAAACTAAATTACATTTTGAAGTGATGACGCAGAGTTGCCCGTGTGGCTCGGAGGTCAGGGAGCTGAGTTTGGTACCGCTGAGTTCCTGGGTTCAAATCAAGGCCGGGGAATGTGCTGACTAAAGTTGGTTCTCACGTGAAGTGACTTGATAACTGCACCAAAAGAATCGTGTTGAATTTGGTTTTCAAATTTTGGATAAATTCCAGCCTAGAGAATAAAAACTATTACTTTGGCAGTCACGTGACTAAAACTGGCGATGTATTTCCTCGAATATGGCCTGAGGTCCATCGAAGGGATTTCAGAAGTAGTTCTGCAATATCTGCTTCCATGGGCCGCGTTCTCTTAACACGAAGGTGCCTTTGTGAGACGGCTGATTGACTACATGTTCAACGCAGCCTTGCAGTAACCTCATTGTCAGTCTGTGCGTTCATTCTCACCGATGCAGACCCGTCAACGGACGCAGCTACTCTGGCCGGTGCGCTGAGCTGACATGCAGATTTCGGAGAGTGAGGCCAACATTGTGGACAAACCGTCGAGGCCTCGATGGACCGTCCTGGAGATCGGCTTGACCGTGACAACGGCTGTGCTGGCCGTCGCCCTCGTCGTTTTCATTACCCTCTTCGGGACCAGGAAAGGTGCTCGCTTTGGGCCCTGAAAGGGTGACCTCGTTGGGAGTGGGGTTGGGGGGACGGTACTGCAACAAAAAATCCTCGTATGTATGTGTGTATGTATGTATGTGTGTATGTATGTGTGAATGTATGTGTGTATGTATGTGTGTATGTATGTGTGTATGTATGTGTGTATGTATGTGTGTATGTACGTGTGTATGTACGTGTGTATGTATGTGTGAATGTATGTGTGAATGTATGTGTGTGTGTATGTGTGTGTGAATGTGTGTGTATGTGTGTGTGAATGTGTGTGTGTATGTGTGTGTGTATGTGTGTGTGAATGTGTGTATGTATGTGTGTGTGTATGTGTGTGTGTATGTGTGTATGTATGTGTGTATGTATGTGTGTATGTATGTGTGTATGTACGTGTGTATGTACGTGTGTATGTATGTGTGTATGTATGTGTGTATGTATGTGTGTATGTATGTGTGTATGTATGTGCGTTGAACTCAATTCGCACCTTACGCAGCCAACCGTGCCAATCAGAGGCATGACACAGTTGATGTTAAAGATATTCATACAAATGTTGACCGCTTAAAATATATACATATAAAACATTTAGTGGAACTGGGCAAGATACGAACAACCGTGGAAGAGGTGGCAGCAGCCAGACTTCGGAGGGTACTGCTGGACAGGAGCAGGCTGGGGAAAGGGAGGAGAGGAAGAACATTGGGGGGGAGGCCTTTGCCCAGCAGTGGCAAAGTTGCAGGCTGACAACAACAACAAATACTAAACAGAATGAAGAATGATACGCGATGTGCTTGTGCCTGTCGCGTGTTCTGCTCTGCCTGTCGCCCCGCTTGCAAATGAAAGAATTGAAATAAGGGCACCGCTTCAAGACAGTGTGTGTGTGAGCAGCCATTACAATGGGTGGGACACAGCCATTACATCCCCCCTCCCTTCCCGAGTGTAATGGGGCTGCTGCCTTACACGTGCTTTAGGCTGAGACATCGCCAAGTCATTCGTCAACGTGGCTTAAGTAAAGTGGATGAATTATCTGTCCTGGAGTCGCAGATGGTGGCTCGTTTGACTCCGCGGGTCCGATGATTGTCACTCGATGTCAGGATAACAAGCCAGAGCCAAAGTGCGTTATCCTATCATTGTGTTTGCTCAATCACAGGATCGTCGTTGCGACGTCGGAAATGCGGCAGTTACACGTGGTGGTTCACTCCGATCGAAGGTGTGGGCGCGCTGTAGAGAACGGTGGCGTGCCTCTCTGACCGTGTAATTCTAGGACGCTGTGTCACCGGGCCAGCTTCTTAGCCATGGCGACAATAATAGCGTCCACTTTCGTGGGAATGCGTACGTTTGGCGACGTTAACACGGCTCACGCCCACCGCTGATGGAAGGGCATCCACACGGAGAAGCTCTGGATGAGTTTAGCGAGGCCTTCCCCCCACCCCCACCACTTGATGAGACTTTGGCCTACTCTGCCACGCTAACAGACGCGGCCAGACCCACGCTTTAATAGTACCACCAATCGACTAACTGTGGTGTAGCCACTTCTACTTTGTATGTATGTTGAACTTATTTCGCACCGTACGTAGCCCACCGTGCTATTCAGAGGTGCAGGGGAAGGACAATAAACTTAACACGCTACTGGGTAGACAAAGTGGGTGCTTAGAAGTGATAAACTTACGTAGAACCGTGAATAAGAATTTTTTACAGTGGGTCATAACATGAATGGGGCATGTGCAATGGACACCAAGTTTATTTGGCTAGGCATTAGTTGAAAATATATTGACACCACTCAGTTCTTATATATGCATTCATTGTTTTCGGACGTCCGCTTAGGACGTTTTTGTTCATCAATTTTTTTTTCTCTCAATGTACAACTGTGAACGCATTTTCAATGGCCCTGCTGAGAGCATCCCTGGCAGGTCATCATATCTTGAAAGTATTCTGAAAATGAAGCAGAAATTTCACTCTTGCAATGGAAAACAGCTATTCCCTACCACTAAATCTGGAAGCTTAATTGTAAGATGTAAATATTTAAAGACCACTCACTAAACATATTTTGCCGTTAGTTCTGAGCGGGGGAAAAAAAATCGTAACTGAATTCCTGCTCAAAACGGGGCGTTGAGGCGGTGCTCATCTTCCATTCATAGCCCTGAGTCAGTCATGGAAATACTACGTTCCTACGCGAAAGTGATATCTGTTTTATCGACCCCAGAGGGACGATGGGCTGACCGCTGAGCCACCTGTCTGGTTCCGCTTGTCGTGAGCCTCCTCGTGACTCTCGCTCTGCTGCATTGTGGGATGTGCAGCAGATGACGCGGTGCATGGAATCACCGAGTGTATATAGTGGCCGTTATCGTTTAAATGCGTGCAGCAATTTGATGAGTTATGCAAAACCTTCATGCCGAATTTTAAAGTCAAGCTGTCTCTACGCAACCTATAAATATTATCCAAGTAATTGTTCAGTTTGCAGTGAATTTTATGGTTTATTCTTTTTTTTTTCTAAATTGCTAAAAAGGCAATATATTGCAGTGTAATTGGTTATTTAAATGGCCTTTTTGTGGGCGCCCCGGTTTAATTTCACCGAATTAAATTGTATACCTACTCAGGACCGGCAACAAGAAGCATATAAGATTATTCCGCTCGATCAGATTAGTCTGGAAATCCAATAGGCTGGTGAACTTAAAATTTATTTTTGATACATATTCTAATTTCCTTGGAAAATTGTTTACATTTATACAGAGAGTATTCAGTATTCTATTTTAAAAGAACAACAACTTTTTATGCATTGTCGTGGAGCGCTTTAAGTATTAAAATAAATAAACAGTCCTCCGTTTGTCCCTCCAGACAAAAGTAATATATTTTAGCCTGCCAGTCTGTGTGCATTGGAGACCAGTATTATCAGAATTACATTAATTAAACAGAGTGTTCTTGCCAAAAACATTTGGCAACAAAGCAGAATTTACTTAACACGCCTGACTCTTCTGATGAGACACAGACGATATAACCCAGTCCAGCGTCAGCTTGCTTTCTTCCTTCACCTGGGTTTGAACCCAGGTTCTCAGCGATGCCAGGTCAGTGCCGTTACGCATTATTAGCCACCCGAACAAGCCAGCAAACGTACATTTTAAGTTGTCTTTTAAAATTGTTTTGCTCTTTCCATCTATCATTGTTCCACAGATCCTGTGACACCATGCACATCAGCAGACTGTGCAATAGCAGGTGAGATGGGATGTTTTTTTTTAACAATGATGCCCGCAATTAAATTGTAAACTGTGTTAAGAATACCATTGCTGTGTTTGCTTAAACCAGAAGCGTGCGTTCTCTTTACCGTGCGAACACCGGCAATTGCATGTTGGAAAGTTAACATCTGCTCCAATTACCTGAACCACTTGCAATGCATCTGTGTGATCCAATCGTTGTTTGAAAGGTGAGTGACAAAATTATTGCCCAGCCTTTCCTGAGTCAGGTGGCTTAGCACTCGAGCCGGTGGCTCGCAGTCGGAAGGTTGTGTGAGGTTCTAAGAAAGTCGGCGGTGGATAGAGATGTGGAAATTCCGCCGTTGGCTCAGGGCTGTAAACAGAAGATGAGCACTGTCTCAATCCTCATGAGCAAGAAATGTCACTGACTTTACTTTTTTTCCCCCTTTCCCGAATGTTTAAATGACTTGCTCCGCTGTTGTTAAGGGCCCAGCCAATTCAGTCCGTCGCACAAGGGAGTAATTTCGTAGCACGATAATGCAATGAACATTAATGTGACAGGGAAATGTTGTATAGATGTAATTGGAAAGAGGGGGTTGTGACTCGTGGGACGTGCATGCAGAAAGGAGGGAGAGCAGGTTTGCAAGACGGGGCATTGGACTGGCACCCAGAGGTTGATGATGAGGGATATCCTCGAAGCTAGATAGTGATTAGAATCATAATCTTCTTGGTTCTTTCGGTTAAGTCATGTAGAATGGAAATAATAAAATAATAAAAATAAAACATAATAAAATAATTCTCACGACGTTTCGGCTACAACGCAAGCAGCCGTCCTCAGGTGAAGAACAGGTCTGTCGAGAAGACAGAGTCTTATTATTTCCATTCTATGTGACTTTACCGAAAGAACCAAGAAGATGAATCCCTGCAGTCACGAAAGCTTTAAATCGAAATAGAATCATAATATTTATACTGAAGGAATCCGATGAGCTATTAAGCTCTGTTAAAAGATGTCCAGTAGGGGCAGGTCAGAAAGTTACAACAACAAACAATACAAAAACACGATTGGAGTGCCAAGCATGGGAAAGGTAAGAAAATCACTAAAGACAAAAACTTATTTTACCAGGTAAAACACACTGATCTATTAACTTATTTTTCAGAAGCGACCTAAACACAAATAATAGCACAACGAAATAGCTTGTCACGTAAAAATGTATATCAGCCCAATAATCTAGATGATGATGATGAGAGTGTAAGAGCTGATCTTGGAGGCCAGGTGTGAACTGCGTAATAGCTGTGGCATGCATCAGAAGGAAGAGGTGATGGTGAAATGTGGTATTCATGCCATTGGCCATGATATCCTCTTGACCATGACTTGTCATACATATCGCTGTGATATTTGTAATTTTCTGCATTTTTTTTTGTGCTATCTATCCAAGATTTAGTCACTTTCCTTTGGCCTACTAAGTCATTCTAGGCACTGCAAAACCTACAGCTGACCTCGTAAGGCGCAAAAGAATTGTCTCTCGAGACACACAAGCCTATTGTTGTTAATGTCTTGGAGCTATGGCCTTTTAAAACTCGATTGAAAACACATTTCTTTAGAACTGCTTTTTCTGTTTAGTTTGTTATCCCCCCCGCTCGCACATCCGATTAGCACGGTTGGCTACCTATGGGTGCCACAACACATTCCTGCGGACGGAGCTGGTAGGAACGTTGGGTTGCTCGGTCAATGGCCAGGGTCAACGGCGGCGTGGTGTATTCCGCAAATATGGCCGACTGTGAGGGCGGGCACAAGCCGGCGTGAGTAGGTTAAACGTTGAGTTTTATAAGGGCACCACGGGGTGACCAGCCCCTCCCCACCCAGCCCCACCCCTCCCACCCCCCACCCAGCCCCACCCTCCCCACCCAGCCCCTCCCCACCCTCCCCTCTCCACCCAGCTCAACCCCTCCCATATTTGGATGCACGACGGACGGACGGACACAATAATCCCCTGTGAGCAGGTGTAACCAGGAGGTTCCTACCAGTAAAAGTTCAACATACATACACACACTATGCATAGATGATGCGGAGCTGTGCATTGCTGACCACTTGGTTGTCGTTGATTCCAAAATCACTCGCGCTCCCCCGTGTCCACCCCCTGCCGCCAACTACGCCTCCCAACCCACACCGATGCCTCCCGCCGCAAACTCGATCGCAGCACTTCCACGAATAGGGGGGCATATACATTCCGCTCGCTCCGGCTGGCTACGGCTCTCTCTCCATTCGCTCCGACTCGTTTCGGCTCGCTCCGACGGTCGGTGACGTGAATTAAAAAATTGCCAGAGATTCCCCACGATAAATGTGAGGCAGAGCCAATTTAATTACGAGTGCGCTGCTGCTGCTGCTCTCTGCGTCCGTTGGGGGCTTTTTTTTTTGCTGAAATGAGAATTCAGGAATTGTTCGTTGTCCGTAGTGGATCCCGTGGGGGGGTGGGTGGGGGTGGTTGCACTTGAGCCGCGGCCAGTTGCTCTCGCGGGCACGTGCGGTGCTCATCGCGGACAGGGGCAGACCCGTCGAGTGGTTGTACATCCGCGATGGATCATCATCATAATTTATATAAAACCCTCTTTTTTTTCCTGAAAGGGCTCGTACAACTAAGAGCAGTACGAGTTAAATCAATTATTTAAAATGGTCTCTAATATTTCATGGCCAAGGTTCATTGGGTGTGTGGAAGTGGGAGCTGGGGCTGTGTATTGCGCATCTCTGTGCACACACACGTGTGTACACACACACGTGTACACACACACATACACACGTGTGCGTGTCTGCGTGCAAGGGCGCGTGGGGAGTGGTGGCGCTGTAGTTAGCTCACCAGGCTACGAAGCCGTCAACCCGTGTTCGATTGCCGCTCACGGCCAACATCAGTGGTAAATATCTGAACCATTACGACGCCTCCCCTAGATTGACTCAGCCTTGAAATTCGGACCTGGTATACTGTGTAAGCATCCGAATTGGGGGGCTAAATAGGCTACCGGAAGTGGTGCTGTCCACCCACCCCCCTTGTATGCCGTGCTGGCCTCATTAGGTGCCCCATAACACCACTTGCCCCACAGTATGTTAAAAGCTACCCGGTTGATCTTTGCCTTTGTTACGTATGCATGTGTTTGTTATTCTGTTTCCCAGCCACACGTTTGCTGGAGGGCATGAACCCTGCGGCTGACCCGTGTGATGATTTCTACGAGTTCGCTTGTGGAGGATGGCCAAAGAAGCAAGTCATTCCAGAAGACAGTGGCTATTATGGAACCTTTCACGTTCTGGACGATCATCTGGAAATTGTCCTGAAAAGTTAAGTATTAAACCTCACGCAATGTTCCCAAGCCGCAAAGTATAGGACTGCGTTGCATCAGACTGACCAGAAAATTGGCCTTAAATGTACCTTATTGCAGGCGTGTACAGGACCACAACCACCACCACCACCACCACCCTAACACACTCATTACGGTACCCTTCATCTTTACGGCCGCATTGTGAATATCATTCTCATGCGAGGGAAAGGGTGAATCGGCATCCATGAAATCAATTGCTCATACCGCTGCGAGTGGAGGGGCCTCCGCCAAGAGGGGGTATTTGGCCTACCCACGGACACTGCTGGGGTTGTCAGAGGCGCGGGAGGGATTATACAAGAACAACAAAACTTGTATTCTTTGGTTCTTTCGGTAAAGTCACGTAGGTATAAAATAAAATAAATTAAATTACGACGTTTCGATTGCAACACAAGCAATCATCATCAGGTGGGAAAACCAAAGAAGGAACATATTTTTTTAATACCTACTTGACTTTACCGTAAGAACCAAAGAGTATGGATCCCTGTCGTCACGAAAACTTCAAATCTAGAATTTAAAACTTGTAGACTACATTTCGATTGCCGTGAACGGAAGGCCGGACCAGGCCACCTTTTGGTGGATGGCCGACACGTCAGGGTAGCAGGCTCCGTAATGGAACAGCTGTTGTTGTTTTTGTTGTTGTTTTTGTTGTTGTTTTTGTTGTTGACATTGATAATCCCGCGTTGCCACGCATGTGTCATTACATTGCAGCTCCAGATATCCCTCAAAATGCTGATTTATCTGAGATTGTGCATCGATGACTTCACATGCTTCCCAGATGCCGGTTGCGTTATTTCACAGCGTGGGTGTGTGTCTGAGTGTGTGGATTTGCAATTGAATCTCATGAGTGCTTTTCCAAATGCGCTTGCAATTAAATCCACTTGATTCATACGTCGTCTAGAGATGCAACCGTATCTCTAGGTAATGTGCAAAAGCAGTGGGAATATTTATATTTAACTATTTTAACTATTTTTATTTTAAAGACATAAAGCCCACTGAGCTAAATGGGTCCTTTTTGAAACGCGACCTGGTCACAAATGATAGGTCATTGAAGTGGCTTATCATGTGTAAATCTATAGCCGGCAGCCAAACACTCTAAATGCGTGTTTCTTACGTTTCTATATTATTGAGAGGGAGAAAGAGGCAGTCAGTCAGAGACAAAGGGAGAAAGTCTTGAACCTTGACTTGAACAGGGCCAGGGAGTTGACAGCACATCACAATCTATTAGCTCGTAATACCTCAGTCGCTCTTATGAACTCTTCATCGGCAAGCCGTCGCCCCCTCCAATTGACTTCAGAGTTCACCTAACCCGGCACTAACGCTGCGGTGACATCACCGCTGCTCAGCGGGATGTGGCAGTTGTTGTGTTTGCGGTAAATCAGGAGCAGGAACTCATACATATTTACGGGCGTGTGATTCAACCGATAAATAAGTGATGGATACCATGATTTATTTACTCATTTAATGTATTCAGGAAAACCTCGCTGACTCCCAAGACACTCTTTCAGGAGGCCCCTACATTGGGCTATTTGGCCACTCATATTAAAATATGTTTTTGCATGTGGGAAAAAAGCATGTGTCCAGAGAGAAAACATTTGTGTGAAAAAAGAGCTTAATAGCTCATCGGATTCCTCCAGTATAAATACATAATGTAAATATGATGTTTCTGAACGAGTAAGAGGACACAACCACTCAAAGATCAGCACAGCCCAGGGTTCACAGCCCACTTGCTGTACTTCTTCCTGCCCAGCGGATCTGGGAGGTTCACAGATCTGTACAACGCACTAATGCTCACCTCTTAGAGTGCTGAATCACAGGCATCCCATGCCGTGGCTCCCTCGGTGCAGTCTTATTCGTCTTCCGTCAGCGTGGACATAACATTTGCAAGGGTAGATCAAGTTTAGATGGCCAGTTAAGAAATATCATCTGATGCCGAACAAAGTTTTTTTGTTGTTCTGCTAGCGGGGTGGGGGGGGGGATATTCGCGGTGCGCTCCAGTGTTTGAAGTTCGCTGACGTTGCAGTGCAAGGGGGGCTGTCTTTAATAAGCGCCACTGTGCATCGGATGTAGCCCACGTCGCCCATGCCGAGTTTATGATCACTCGCTGCCATCCGGGATAGTGCGAAGCCGGGTGCTTCAGCATTTTTTTATTTTAAGGCCACCATGTAATTAAAATGAACAAAATTAATGTTCTTCCAATTTTACCAGCAAAAGAAAAGCCTGCAATATTGATCATCGTCAGCCGCGTTCAATCCATTGCTGGATGAAGGCCTCCACAGCTCATTGTCACTGATACTTTAATGAAAAGTGAAAACAAGATCCAATGTGAAAATGTAATAAGTTAAATATTATCATAACATTTTATAGGTTGTAAGTGAAATCTATACTTGATTAGAATTAGAAGAATATCAATGTGATACTGCGTTGGTTGTGGTGAATAAGTACGATTAGCACATTTGTTAATACATTTCTCTAAAAGGAAACAAACTATATAATGGCAGCATATTTGACATTCGCCCTTCTTCGCGGCACGAATATGATATATCAGGCCAGGGATGCACACGCATGATTTTTTTACGATGTCCATTTCAAAACGGAATTCCATCCTGCGCCGTGCTACCGTGTTGCGCTTCACTGTCAGCCCGCCGGCGCCTCTTATCGCATCGTCAACATCCACCGCTACGCATCATGCGAATCGCTCACCCCCCGCAAAAAAAGAGAAGAACGCCTCTCGCGTTGTCCCCAGGGCTGCTGGAGGAGGTCGCCGGCAGCGGGGACAGAGACGCGATGACGAAGGCCAAGCAGCTCTACCTGTCCTGCATGGACGAGGGTGAGTGGCGACCGGGCGGGGGGCCGGGGGGGGGGTGAACAACGCCACCGAGCCACCGGACGAGTCCACATGGAGAAGTCGCAGAGCCGCTGATCGCCAGGTGGCCGTGCCGGGGCATGTCCGATGAACACGGCTTGGCTACGTACGACGTGGAGGAAGTTGAGAAAATATTCTTAGGTTTTTTCGGTAAAGTCACGTAGGTAAAAAATGTAAATTAATAAAAGTAAAATAAAATAAAAATCACGACGTTTCGGAGGCAACACAAGCTTCCGTCTTCAGGTGGAACCGTCACAGCCTGAAGACGGAAGCTTGTGTTGCCTCCGAAACGTCGTGATTTTTATTTTATTTTACTTTTATTAATTTTAACTTTTTTACCTACGTGACTTTACCGAAAAAACCTAAGAATATGAATCCTTGCAGTCACGAAAGCTTCAAATCTAGAAGTTGAGAACGTACAATGCGTGCATACGCGCAGAGCGCCGGACCCTCCGCCGTTGAGATTTCTGGGCCAGTTGAGATCTTTGGTTTCAGACACTTGTCATGAAAACCCCACGGTATTTTTCGAGTGTGGCGTGTCGATGAGCTTGGCCTGGTCTCGGATGTACGCACGAAAATATTGTCAAGCTATTCGAAATTCGAGATGGAAACACTCAATTCTTTGGAATTGCTTTTTGTGGTTAGTTTGTTGTCCTTCCCCCGCACCTCCGATGAGCACGGTTGGCTTCATATGGTGCGAACGAAGTTCATCATATTGCCACCACAGATAACGGCCTTACATCCAGCTTGCAATCACTTGACATCAAACCAAGGCTTTTACATGCAGCTGTAGAATTATAGCTTTATTTTTGCATAATTCAGCTCACTTCAGCTCTTGCAAGAATTAAACAAAAATCGTTGATTGCCACGTGACAAACACCTCCATACCAGGGCATGTGAGGCAGTGCACCACCTAGTGTGGCGAAGAGGCAAACTAATGGAGATAGGAAGTAGTTCTCTGATGAGCTGTTGCATTCAAGTCGTAGCACACACTCCTCGCCACGATGTCCGGCGTTTCGCTCTGCGGGCTGGGCAGTGCTCTTTTTCAAGTGCTGATTCGTGGAATGAAACGCCGGCCATCGTGCCGGGCAACACACGGTACAGTGCTAAAGAACATCACAGCGTTATCTGTGATGTTGAAGTACAATGGGTACGTGGAGGAGTGGGGGTTTGACCATCCCGAAATTATTTCGCACCGTACGTAGCCAACCGCGCTAATCGGAGCTGGGAACTCGGTTCGTTGGGTTCACAGCCCCACGAGCAAACCACTGCGTACCCACCCCGTGCACACGTTGATAGATTAGCGTGCAACGTTTTACAGAGCCTCTTCCTTCGTCTCCGTTAGGAGAAGAGAAACCTGCGCTGCAGTGCATTCGGGTGGGATTGCAACTAAAGCGGTGCACATGACAGAACGGGAGGAATGCATTAGAATGCGGCAGAGGGGTGCTTAGGATGAAGTGTCCGGAGGCAAGGCGATAAGACGCATTTGCCTTGAGGGGCTCCCATTGTCCTCGGAGGAGAGCGGTGAATGTGCACGGATAATACGCTGTATATATGCAAACATATGCACAGAGATATAACATAGCTGGAATCCCAGCATGCTTTGCGAGTCGAGATGACATCAGCATTCCTGCATTATACAGCATGCTGGAATTATTGCAAGGGATGATATAGATGCAGGATATATAAATGTAAAATTGCGTACGTATTGAAAGAGATATCTTCATGAGCAAAACATTACTGGTATCCCAGCATACTTTTGCAAGTCGACATGACATCTGCATTCCTGCACTTACTCTGCTACGTGCTGGGCTTAATGGCACGTATCAGGAAACCTCACGAGGTGCCCTTTTAAGCAGCGTGGGGCATTAGGGGCTTGCCTCTGAAGTGGCACTTTTATCGTTGGGAGCGCTGCCGCGGTCTCATGGTGAACGCGATGGACTCGCAATGCAAGAGGCCTCTCGTTCGATTCCCATCACGTATTGCGAACAAGCAAAAAAAGACATAACGTACTTTAATACAGGGGTTCAATCACAATCTACATTGCCGACGACGACGACAACAATAACCAACATCTCTTGGGAGTGTATTGTGAATGGACATTTTTTGTGCGATGTAACGGTTCGCACACTGAACGTGCAATCCAGAGATCACCGATTCGGCCTCCCGGAACAGAAGTTCAAAGCAACGCTGCAGGTTTCTTAAATACTCCTCCTTCCCGTCCCCTCGGTCCACCCAGAAGCATCAACGGGTGCACCACAGTTCGCATATCGGTAGGTTGAATGTGGTAGGGCAAAGTGTGGGTACTTCCGTCTGGACTGCGTGGAAGAGTAGGCCAAACATGCCCTTGAAAGCAGCCTACCTTTAGTGGAGGCCCTTCTACCAGCAGTGGCGTGAGCAAGCAATTGCAGAGCTGCACCTTTACCTTTCAATGATGATAACATTCCTGTTTTATATCGCGTGGCCAAAGATGACATGCAGCAATATTACTCATTCATGAGTATAAATGTGTTAAATGATACACGTCTCTGTCAATCTATCCATGCAATGTGTAATGACCCCCCCTCCATTAGTTGGGAGCACAATGTTCCATGTAAATATGTAATTTATATTTCAATTAACTTTCTCTATTTTTTAATCGCTTTACACCACGTCCACCCGGAGTTCTCTCGATCTCCTCGGATCACAGGAGCTAAGCAGGTACTGAGCCTCGGGCAGCGCTCGGATGGGCGACCACTGTGCACAGCACAGGTGTTATAGGCTGTTGCTTCGGGGCTACTCTTGTCACCAAAAGTTCGTGCGGCGATATCCGATGGTTCTACTGTACTGTGCTCCAACATCTATGCTCCCCCCCTCGCCTTCACCAAGCGGCACGAACCACAACGGTACAGAATGATCAAATAACCCCCCCCCCCTTCCCCCGTCACGGCATGTACGGCATAAGATTGACAAACACGCGCATTTTATATCTCAGAAAATCCGCACACTTTGACTGGCTGGCACACTCGTGATGGCCGGCTTGAACGTCTGCATGCACTGCCGTGCGCAGTGCGTGAGATCCCATTGATACCATTGGAACCTCATTTGCCAGTAAAAAATATGACAATTGGTGTTTTACCCTTCTATCTGGCAACAAAACTGACACCTTTTTTGCAAGGAGTCATGTTTACATAGACCACAATACCTGCGGTCATAATGCAAACAAAAAACATGACTCTGAAAATGTGCACATTATCAGAGTTATGTTTATTGTTTGCCATCCCATTGATAGCCAGGCAGGCTCACGTGACTCGTGGACGGTGTGTTGTTACAGAAGCTATTGAGGAAAGAGATTCCGAGCCGCTGCTGTGGCTCTTGGAGGATGTGCTCGAGTGGCCCGTTGCCACCGTCGATTGGAATTCCACCTACGGTAGGAGTGCCGCGTCCGCGCTGGTCTCGGGCAAGCGTCGGCCACCAGCGCCTCCGGTGCCGCCTGCGGCTCTCCCCAAGGCAGAGGTCGCAAACGGGGTTTGATTCCTTACCCGTACCCGGCCGCACCAGGGTCGCAAACGGCTACCTGTACCCGGCCGTACCGCTACTGATTAGCGTGCGTTTAATCAACGGTAAGTCATGTAAATGTAATTTGTTGTTTACAGCTCTCCGCTGTGATTTTTTTAGTCGTACCGCATGTTGGGCACCACGGTGGCGAGATGTCAACTACCTCGCCTGGTATGCAGGAGGTCGTTGGTTCGATCTCGACTCTGACACCTTCTGTATATTTGGAGTTTGCATATCCTCTCCGTGGTCACGTGGATTTTTCTCCACGCCGTCTGGTTTTTCCCTCCACATTTAGAAACATGCGTTTAGCGTTATTTGGCTGCCATACATTTCTACGTGATAAGCCACTTCGTTGACCTAGCATTTGTGGCCAGGTCGCTTATCAAAAAAGTGATTCAGTATAGGTCACTGAGCCTTACCTGGTAAAATAATAATAGATAAAAAATATATATTTTATAATATATTTTTTATTTTTATTTTTGATTTTTTTGCGTTATGTTCGACATTTCGCTCTGCGTGCTGCGGCGAGCTTCTTCAGGTGCTGCTGGGAGGAGATGATTTTTGCTTCTTTCGTGAATCGTCCCGTGATGATTTGTGCTGCAGGCAGCCAGTGGAGGCTCGAGGAGGTTCTTGCTCTCATGACGTCACGTTACGGCAATCGGGTGATCGTCGACATCGGCATCGCGAGCGACGTTAATGACTCCAAGTCCTCCTCTATCTACGTGCGTATGACCCCCCCACCCCCCCAGCTCACGCCAGCTACGCGTCCACCCGGTCAATCGCAGAATCTCTCGTGAGCACAGTGGGGGGGGGAGGGGAACCAAGCTAAGGACTTTAAAATACCTTTTGCAGAGGTATTTGATGGTGTTCTGAGTGTTTGCTCACCATGTGTACTTCATCCCAATGATAACTTCGTTCGTCCGTTCGTTTCTCAATCCGCGTGTCCTGGCGAGAGTCGCGGCGGCAGCGTGTTGAGTAGTGGCGGTCCAGACGTCCCTTTCCCTGTCGACAGACTCCAGCACTGCTACACTATACACTACTACACTATACACTACTATACACTACTATAAACTGCTACACTATACACTACTATACACTATACACTACTATACTATACACTAAACACTACTACACACTACTACACTATACACTACTATACACTACTACACTATACTACACTATACACTACTACACTATACACTACCATACACGACTACACTACCATACACGACTACACTATACACCACTATACACTACTACACTATACACTAGTATGCTATACACTACTACACTATACACTACTATACACTACACTATACACCACTATACACTACTACACTATACACTACTACACTATACACTACTACACTATACACTACTATACACTACACTACTGCACTATACACTCCTATACACTATACACTACCACACTATACACTACTACACTTTACACTACTATACACTACACTACTACACTATACACTACACTACTATACACTATACTACTATGCACTACACAACTCTACACTACACTATACACTACTATACACTACTACACTATACACTACTATACACTACACTATACACTACACTATACACTACACTATACACTACTCTACACTACTACACACAGACTCTAGTTCTTCCTGGGGAATTCCAGGCATTCCCAGGCCAGCCGAGCGACATCGTCCTACCGCCAGCAGCGTGCCCTGGGCCCGCTATGGGGTCTTCGCCCAGTGGTAACGTGTTGGCATGAATAGCCGCTTACTAACCACGCTTAGCCCCAGCAGTCTTAACACGTTACACAGGGAGATGATTGTTTTGTTGCTTACCATGCGTATGACCTTGTCGTTGTTATTGTCACGACAGATCGACCAGCCCTCGCTGGGCCTCCCTACCCGGGACTTTTACTTTGACAACGGCTACTACAGCCAGGTGAGGTGGCGACGGTGGCATCACATTGAGAAAAATACACGTTGCTGCTCCTTGCCGCTAAACTCCTGAAGCTAGAAACGAATAAAATGTTGACGATGAATGGGGCTCTGGTATGCTGCAGTGGTGTCATGGTGAGCACGCCGGGCTTGTGATCCGGAGGCCACCGGTTCGATTCCACCTCCCGGCACGACATTTCAAACAATGTCGAAGGTTGATTAAATCCTCCACTGTCTACGCCCACTCGATAGTAGAGATGGGTACCGACACAGTCGGCCGTCCAGGCATGGAACGCGTGATGAGGCAAAGATTGGCGTACTCCCACCTCTTTCTTGACGCCTGAACTGCGTGGAAGAGTAGGCCAAATACCATCTAGAGCGGCTCCTTATAGCTCCCAGTATTGGAGGCCGTTGTACCAAGAAGAGAACGGCAAAGAACGCAACAACAACAGATCAACAATGAAGGCCAATATGACAATACAGCCAGCACTCACTTTGGCTCCTTGAAGATGTGTTCTATTTTAACACGATGCTCTCTCCACCACTGTCTTCCCTTATCGCGCCTGTATATATACACACACACGTGCAGGTACGTGACACGTATCTCAGGGCTATGATTGCTGTGGCGACGATAATCAGAGCGGACAAGAATATCACGGACGATATTGACTTCGTTCAAGAGCAAATGGAAGGCGCCTTTCGGCTGGAGATGGAAATAGCGGAGGTAATGTGAGCGAGTGGCAGTGACTGCCATCCGTGCGCGTTCCCCCGGCGCGCGCCACGGATCTCGCTGTGTCGCGCATCAAGCGAAATGGGTGACATGGGAAATTTGCGTTCGTTTTCCCCCAAATAAAGATTTTCCGCTTGAGTAAATTACGCGACGAAAAAAAAGCGTTTGGCATGCGTCTCACCTTAGGGTCACGTTTGTATTTTCAGTCGTTCTCGTAGGGTAGTGTGTGTGTGTATGTTTGTTGTGGTGGTATGCGCTCTGCGCTATGAGCACGACTACCCGAGTACAATTCCCAGTAACGGCCAACACCGGTGACGATTATCTGAACTGGTCATGGGGCCCTCCCCTACGTTGATTTTATTATCAAGTAATTTTCGGGCTGCATCTCTATCTCATAAATTACACCTCTCTCTATAGTTTCTACTCACAGAAAACTGCTCTGTTTTGCTGTTCATTTTCCAACTTTAATTACCTATTTTTCCGTGGGACTAAAACTAAAAATCTAAAACTATTTATATTTTACCAGAAAAGGCCGATTGAGTTACATAGCTCTTTTCCAGAAGCGACCTGGTCACGAATGATAGCCCAACGAAGTGGCTTATCACATGCACATTTATAGCAGCGAAGTGGAGCCAGAATATGTTCCACCTGACAACAGCACGTTTCCGATTGTAGCACGCTCAGTTACTACCGTCACCGCAAGACCCTTTGCAGTGACAGATGTGCGGACTAATGCGTGACCCGCCAAAGGCATTTGAAAGTTCTGTTTTGCCCGGAGTGAGGAATAGCTTCTCCACGCCTTCGGTACGTTGAACTTATTTCGCAAAGTACGTAGCCAACTTATCGGAGCTGCAGCTGGTGAGGAGGGCTGGGGTCTACCACCACGTGGTTGTGCCGTGAACCTCGACTGTGACACGTGCGATTCCCAGGCCATAACTCCAGCAGAGAACAGAACGGACGTCACGAAACTTTTCAACCGGATGACCTTAATGCAGCTGCAGCAAGAGTTTCCTCTTAATGTGAGTACTTTATGATTATTATTTTCAATTCAAATGGTCCATTATTTATATGTATAGTAGAACCCCTGTTTACAACGGTAACTGGTTAGACAAAACCGGCCGTTAAGTGATTTGGTCGTTAAGCAAGTATTGGAAATACACGTTAAAGGCTTAATTCGCTCCGATAGCATTGAAAGTTACACTTATTCACCCAAAAACAATAATTTATAATATTTAAACAATGGATATTAATACACAAAGATACTAACAACATTGTAAACACATACTATTTAAATAACGTGGTTAATCAATACATTCATTCATATTGATTGGACCAACAACAGCCGATCGTTAACAGGGGAATGGTGGGTAAGCAAACACATTTGACTCTTTGGTGTCCCCCGTCGTTAAGTGATTGGTCGTTAACAAGGGTGGTCGTTAATAGAGGTTCACTCTACGTTTGTCGATGATTATATTTTGCCGCTTAAAGCACGTCAGAGATGTAGTTGAATTTAGAACGAAGGTTCACGTTTTATTTTTTTAAACCAGAAACTCAGAGAGCAGGGTGAGTCTATTTTTGCGAAAAGTGGCCTCGATTCCACAATTCTATAATTGTGTTCATACTGACTTTGTTAAAAAAAATTAAGACCAGCTCACAACCCACTCTGCTCTCTTGGCTTGAACCTCTGCTGAAGGAGTTCAATATTCGTAATAATATCACAAAAAAATAACAAAATTTTGTATTAATGTAACAAGCCAAAAGCTTTTTTAAATCCTTTATATTAAGTTCGCTTGCTTGCTTGCTTGCGCGATTACGACCATGTAAATCTTTCGGTCGTTTTTTAACCCACTTCCCGTGATCCAAGCGAGCTGACATTTTGCACACAGACTCGTTGTGCGTAACAATTTATTTTCGTGATTTTTTTTTTTATTTTCAACATTTTAGGGAATTTTTTTTATATTGAATTACCAATTGCTTAATGGTGGCAGGCAATCATCTGACCCATAGGTGGCAGCCATCTCAAGCCAGAAGACGAGAGGACTCTAGCCGCCCGTTTCAAAGACCAATGTGGGCTGGGTTGTGGCCCATTGAACACGCATATAAAGGATTTATAGTGAAAAACTTTGTTTTTACGGGTAATTTTTTAAGCCGAGGTGATACCCTGATCGCAGCTGTCCCTATTAATAGGGGAAACGAATGAACCGGGTCTGTGCAGAGAGTTAATGGAACAATGTTTTTTTTTTATCTTTGCTTCTATTTAGGGTTTCAACTGGACATTCTTCATTAACGAGGTTATGAAGACGGTTGACATTGAAGTGGAGGCGAGTGAGGAAATTTTGGTGTCGGCTCCTGAATATTTGGAGCAGTTGTCTGACATCCTGACCAGGCATCCACCCAGGTTTGTGTTTATATACACATAAACAACAACAACAACCGCCATTCACCAGTAAGTGGCGGTGACGTCACCACGGTGCTTGTGCCAGGCTATCAGCACTTTAAGGCCACATATACGCATTAACACACACAAAGACAAAGATCCCCCATGTAGCCCACAGAGGCTGTTGGGACAAGTGCTGTTATCACCACGCCCCAGAGGCCTCTGTCTCCCCAGTGCTGACATCTACACACCACAGCGAGTACTGATTTAAAGGCTGAGTCCAACTAGGGGAGACCCAGGACTCGGGGATCGTGTTGCAGTACAAGTAACCATTTGCTCCACACACACCGGGGGTTTTGTTGCTACTTGAGCCTGCAGGTTGACCACGTGGCAAGTGCCTGGATTCAGGCCTCTCAGCCTCAGTTCCCCAACAGGGATCACTGCCGAAGAGGTTCATCATCGTCTGGCCATTCGCAGAAACTCGGCAGAGCCAACGACTTCCACGAAAACAGTCCACGTTGTACCGGCATCTTGGGATAATTTTGGGGAATTACCAACAATTACTGCGGTTACACAGAACGTTCCGAACGCTCGCCGGCTTCTTGAGTTCCCTTGTGGTGAGAAAAGGATGCCCTGTCAGCTTAAAGCTGCAGAGAGCCTCGGACACGCGCCTGATGTGCTACGCAGATTACAGCGCTTTGTGTGCTTGCCATATTAACCCTTTACCGTTCCGAGACGTCTGCAGGTTTGCGGAGTTGCGGGTGTCCCGTTCACCTCTGAATCTTGGAACGCGCAAGCGGCCCGGCGTTAATTGTATTTAGGGCGGCGTAGCGTCGCTGTTTTTAAAGACATTGCAAAGGACGCAGAGAACTGTCGTGACACGACCGCACTCTACGATAGCTGGCACCAAACTGTGCCACACGCCCTCCCGCATGGCTTTGTGAGAGCCACGGTACCGATTGAATATTTTATTTTCGTTTACTTCTGGTTTAGTTTTGACGACGTACGCATACGTACACATACATACGTGTACGTCATCGGGATGGAATCAGAAGAAAAACTCGTGAAGTACACGTACGTACGTTATTGGATTGAGAAAGGGTTAAGTGCTACTAAGCATGTACACAGTCATGCGTCAGTAAAGAGGGGGGTGATTATATTGGCGGATCCTAATTAGAGCTAGGTTATCCGACTATTTGAAGTAATCGATTGCTTTACCAACCATCGGTTCAATTACTCGACTAATCGGATAACACCTCCATTCCCACGTGTGCCGCTGAACGGGAGGTGATGGGCGGGGCATAATTCGCAACATCATGCTGGGGCGTGGCTTTGTTGGGGAGGGTTTCCCGCCTTCGGAAGGTAGAATGTGGGGGTGACCTCTGTTTTTAAAGGGGTTTGAGTCATCGACTATAAAAAAAGTAGCCGATTACAACTTCGAGTGGACCGATCGACCCCGTCGACTGATTGTCGCAACTAAAAGATCCTGTTTTCCGTTGTTATTATGAAGATGTTCCAGAATATCATTGTGCTTAATCTGCAGATTATCAGATGGATTTGCCCCACACCTCTTCGAGGTTATTCCTCTTTTTTTCTCGAAAAAGCACAGATCATGTTTCTAATAACGCTGTCGCTCGCTTGATTTTTGTGGATCAAGTCAATCCGTGCACGAGGTGGGGGGTGTGTGTACGCATGTGTGTGTTTGGGGAACGGTGGAGCAGTAGCTAATGTTCACCGCGCTACACACATACAAAAGCTGGGTGCCCAATATCTGAACCAGTCCTGGGCCTCCCCTAGGTCGGCTCAGCCTCAAATGAGTACCTGGTGCGGTGTGTAAACAGCGGCACGAGGAGGTGCTGGCCACAGGATCTCTTAGTCCGCCGTTTCGGCCTTCGTAGGTGCTCCCCAAACAGCACTTGGCCTACCGCAGTCGCCCTCAACCTTGTTGGGTTACTGAACCCCCCCCCCCCTTGTTGAATTTTGATTCAACCTGACCCAACATGGCTCTGAGATCATCAATGTATGAATAATGCACGTCAACATTTTAAACGATTGTCCATTTTGTGAGGTTTCCTAACGAGCTTGTAACTGCATGCACGTCGTAATTCGTTCACACTCGCTGTCTCTTTAAGGAAACCACGTTGTGTACGATCAATGAGTTTAGAAAGGTATTATATACCGTTTGAGGTTATAGTATTAGTTAACATTTGATCGTAGTCATTTTACATTGGCAGATTCATACATGATTATTCACCAACAACTCATGTGTAATATGATTTCACACATTTATAAATCATCTCGCGTACCTCCCTGGGATATTGCTGCATACCGACCAGGGTTCTGCATACCCCCGGCTGAGAAGTGCTGCCCTACCAGTCTACGAAAGGCTACAGGGGTAGACTTTGTCTTTGTATTTATTTCACGACCCACTTGTCACACCTTGCAAAAAGGCATGTCTAATCTCTCCGTTTTAGGTTACTTTCAGCGTAATTGTGTTTAACGTATTTCCAGTACCGTGGGGAACTCATTCCCCTGTCCAAGTCTGCGCGTGGAAAATTCTATCCAGTTGTGGCAAATTGTGTTGAGTTGAAATAATTCCTCTCAATATGCGACAATTTCAGAATGCAAATTCTCATTGAGTCATTTAAGAGCATGTGCACAAGTAATCTGCAGCAGACTTGACCTCACTATTTAGCATGCCCTTCGAAAACTTACACAAGAGATTGAGTTACAGACACTATGATTCTACTTTTGTGTTGAGCATCTTTGCACTGATTTTCTATTTTCTTGCTATTCTTTATTCATTACGTTTGCCATGTTGATGACAAAGGTAGCTTCCAAATTATATTATTCTGGCCTCTTGATTTCTCACCCAGTTAATGAAATCAACTTGAACCCTTCAGAATTCTTGAGATACAAACTCTCCTAGGTTGAGAAGGTTAAACAACTAATTCCTGATATATTAAGACCATTGAAAAATAAAATCGGATTTTGAAATAAATTTGTCATATTTGGATAAAGCACCCTTTAAAAACTCCAGGTGGTGCAAATGTGCAAAATCAATTTTCTCTTAGGTGGGGTTAGAATTTGTCGTTTAATTTGGATTAGTTTGAATTGGGCACCATGGTGGCAAGACGCCTGGTATACTACAGTAGGTCTTGGTTTCGAGCCCGACCCTGACGCCTACTGCTGCATATTTGAAGTTTGCGTGTTCTCTCCGTGGTCGTGTGGATTTTTCTCCGGGTCCTCCAGTTGTTCTTCTCTCCACGTTCGGAATCAACAACACACCTTCAGAGTATTTGGCTGCATTATATATTTCCACACGATGATAAGTCACTTCGTTTAGCTATCATTTGTGATCGCCAGGTCGCTTCTGAGCAAAAGAGCTGCTATCACCCAGTGGGCCTTAACAGATATATACAGAAATAGGTCGTAATTTTTTTTATTGTATGCGTATTTGCGCAACGTTCATGGCATGCGCGCGTGTGCACTCTCGTTGTGTTCGTGAACAGTGACTGTGCACAACTACGTGGTGTGGATGCTCATTACGGAGGTGATCCGCAGCCTCAGTCACAAATACCAGGAGGCCATCGCCGAGACCCAAAAGGTACCGTGACTCTGGGAGCCATTGTTATTGATATATATATTTGTAAATATCTATGGGACATTTATGCTATTATCAAAAATGATGGAAAAATAAGAATTGGTTTTAGACTTTTTGGCAACACAACAGGTGTTAAGATGTTCACACACCAAATAGATACCTTGCAAGGCATCAAGTCTGCATTAACCACGCGTGCGTATGGCAAAACATCCAAACAAGCATGCTCTAATAATATATGCATTGTCTTTGAAACTGATTGGTCGACACCATTGATGTGTTTTTTTTTGTTTCTATTGCCGTTACGAATGATTAATCTCTCATTTCGGCTCACATAAGGGGCGAGTGATATCAAAACCGCTCCCATTCCTTCGTTTCTACTTCACCAACTCCGCACTGACCAGTGAAGTCGAGTCAAACAGCACCTGCAGGGAAGGCATTCATCCGGCCGTGGAATGGCAAGGTGGTTGTGCATAACACTGCATATATACGAGGCTGATTCACTGCTTAACCCTTTCCCGTTCCGAGACATCTGCAAGTTGCAGGGTGGGTGTCCCGTTCACCTCTGAATATTGGAACGTGCCAGCGGCTCGGCGTTAATGTTAAATAGAGGAGCGTAGCGCCGTTGTTTTTAAAGACATCTCACTCAGCGCAAAGAACTGTAGCGACACGACCGCGCTCTACGATAGCTGCCGCCAAACTGTGCCACACACCCTCCCGCTTGGCCTTGTGGGTCCCTCGGTATCGATTGAGTCATTTTATTTTAGTTTTCCTTCTGGTTTCATTTCGATGATCGACACGCACGTCATCGGAACGGGATAGAGTTAAAAGAAGTGTGCTCTCGTGCGGTTGCGTGCGGTTGCGCGAAGCACATTAAATGCGCCGTGCGTGTGGGGTGGGGGGTGAAGATGCTGTACGGAGTGTTGCTGGCCAGGGCTCGCTGGCGTCACTGTGTCGACTACGTGAACACGGCCCTCCCGAGCGCCGTGGGGGCGCTGTACGTGCTCGACGCCTTCCCAAGACACGGCAAGACAAAGGTACGGAACGCGTCGGGGGTGGGGGAAGGGGAGCGTTGGAGGGGGGTTCGCCAACCTTTTTTGCACGGCGCATCAAAGCCGCGCGTATTTCTCAAAGACAGTCGAGGCTTGTCGAAAACCGTGCCGTGCACTGGAATGAACGTCGACGCGAAACCGGGTACCAGTCTCGATTTAAAGCTGTCGTGACTGCAGGGATTCATCTTCTTGGTTCTTTCGGTAAAGTCAAGTAGAAGGGAAATAATAAAATAATAAAATAAAGCATAATAAAATTATTCTCACAACGATTCGGCAGACGGCTGCTTGCGTTGTGGCCGAAACGTCGTGAGAATTATTTTATTACGTTTATTTTTATTATTTTATTATTTCCCTTCTACGTGACTTGACCGAAAGAACCAAGAAGACGGGTACCAGTCGTCGGCACGGATCAATTCTCGCCACCTGGACGCAGGTGGCGATCCCCTGGACTGTGCCTCGGCTCAAACGTGGACAGGTGGCACACACCCCCTCTACGCGCGTGGCGCAGTGCCACATCGTCGCCCACTCGGCAGGCTCTCATTCAGTTCCGTCCTGTTTTGTAAAAAGTGTAAGAAGATGAAGGTGCAGCTCCACGCGGCTGCTCGTGCCACTGCTGGCTGAATGGCCTCCACTAGAGAGGTGCTCCTCGCGCCTGAGAGATTGGTCGAAATTCCACATTCGTATGCCGGGGCTAGGAGGGAGGGGGGGAGGAGGGGGGCAGTCTAGCCATCGGACAACTGCTGCAGACGTCTCACGAAAGGGTACTCATTTTTTATTAACCCCAGGCCAGGATTTTGCAATTGCAACCTTGCAACTGTGAGTTGTGCGTATACTACCGAGTCATATAAACACGACAGTCAAAGATAAAGGTGGTGCCCTGCAATTACTCGCTCTCTCGACACTGCTGGCAGAAGAGCCTCGACTAAACGGAGCTGTCGGGAGCTCCTGTGGCGGGATGGTTTGACGTCACCTACACTTTTGACCCACCAAACGCACACGCACCGATCCACTGACTGTGACGCACGCCTTTATTGCTGCTGGGCCGACGGAGGCACAGTGGGGGTGGGGAATTAATCAAACTCGTTTCAACTGCCCTCGCCTGGAGGTGGATACGAACCGTTCAACTCTGGATTGCAAGTCCATTGGTGGATGCAGCGTCGTTATTTTATGATTACCATTGTGATTATATTATTTTTGTTGCATCATTATCAACTGCATTTACAGTGGAGCCCATGCCTTGAGGCGCACACATCTCTCTCCCGCTCACAGGGACGGTCCCAGCGCAGCAGCGGGAAGGAATCGTGATTCCGTGATTGACGTGCAAGCGGGGATCTGGACAGCGACGATAACATGTTGACTTGGAGTGCGAATTTAGGCGCAGCACTGGGGTTAACCCACGACCCTCGATGTCCACAAGGGGAAGGCAGGGCTCTGGCTTCATGCAACATAGGCGTGTGAATATTAAGCAATACCCTCGTGTGTATTTTGCAAGTGTAATCTCACACACTGCGCTGCGGTGAGCTGTTCGACGCTTGCTATAGAAACGTAAAATGTGCGAAAGAGGTTCAACATACATACGTCCCATGAACAACATCTTGGTTTAATCATTATTACTGTCATTATTTTTGTACCAAATGTGTGGGCAAAATATCATTCTCAATCCACAAATGCATAAAAGCCCCCTTCGCCATGTCAGTAATAGTGTTTGTTTAACCATACCTCACCACGCTGGTCAGAGCGGTTTGTTGAAGAGTTGGGTGGGCAGACAGACAGGACGGGTTCCGACGGGTTAATTTGCCACTGATGTTTGCCGTGGGTGAGGCATCGATTCCTGGGTCGCGGGGATTCTGGCGCAACTTCCTGACCCATTCACCACCAAATTCGATAGCATTGCCCAGCAGCCTTTGAAATATTTGATTCAATTTCATCTGCAGACAATTACTGAATAACTCATGTCGAGTCTTTGTGAATCCACTGCTGGATGAGGGCCTCCCCAGGCAGTGCGGCCCATGGGAGTTGCTCGACCGTTCTTCACCACGCTGCTCGGTGTGGGTTGGTGAAGGCAGAGAGCATGAATGCTGCGGAGCATAGAAGTAGAGTCCAACATTGGGTTGTGTGTGTCCTCTGCTGCTACTGCTGCGTAACATAGCCCCCCCCCCCCCCACAGCCAATAACAACCTGCTCCACATGGTGGCCACTATATCCAGGGTTCGACCCAGCTTAGTCGCTCCCTGGGTGTGAAGAGATTTGGCTCGGGAAGGATCGGTTGTTTTCTAGGCGATGTAGAATGCGTGAAATGCTCCACGGCGCACGTTGTCACGTTGTAACGTGCGTTACGGCCGGTGTGTGCCGGTGTGTGCCGGCAGCCAGAGGTTAACGTCAACGTCTAAACAGAGTGAAGCGCTGCTGGAGGCTACCCAAGGGCCAGTGTGGTTATCAGTCGTCCTATTGCGCGTGCTGCGCGTCGCAGCGCCGAAGTGTGCCACGTTTCCTTCGCCGATTGCGGCTGGAGCCGAGCGGCGTGAGAGCTCTTTGCCTCCGTGAGTAAATGTAACGCAGCGCGAGGCAGGGCGCTTAAGTGACGGTCATATTTTATTTTGCCTGGCGACCACAAGATTAATGGTCGCCATGGTTCAATCTACCGTGGCGTACATTACCGTCTCTGCACTTGCCTCAATGAAGCCCCGTATATGTGTGTGGGTACGTGCACGTGGGTTCGTGCGTGCGTGCGTGCACGTGGGTTGCGTGCGTGCGTGCGCACATTCTGGAGAGCAGGTGGTGCCGTGGATATCGCACTGCCTCCCCTTGGTCGACTCAGCCTTTCATGAGTGCCCGGTGCTGTGTGTATAAAAGTTCACCGCCGAGGAGGAGAGGAAGGCGGCTGGGCTTGGTGTTGTTCGCCACCGACGCCATCGTGATCCGTGCTGGCCTTCATTGGCGCACGCTAACAGCGCGTGCCGCAATAGTCTGTTAAATACTAGAACGGGAGATCCCTCCGTCTCTCTTTGTTTTTGCTTTTGTTCGTACATGCGTACATGTGTGTGTGTGTGACTCCAGAGCGAGTGGCGTAGTGTTCGTCGTAATGCGCTGTCAACTCGAGTTTGACTCCTGAGCCCTGGGCTAACAGCAGTGATAATATCCCCGAGGATCACACGAGTATCCGGCACGTGGTTTGTAAACATCAATACTCGGGATGAAGGGCAGTTGGTTGGGGGTGGTGCTGGTCCATAGATTTATAGGCAAAAATGAATATATAAAAAATGCATGACCAATTGGACTAGTGTCTGTCTATATTGCAGGGCTTTATTGGACATGTGAAAATTGTTCTTGATAAATAGCATACAAAGAAACAAACAATACAAATGAACGTGTATTGTCGCATTCAATAACTAATTAGCCATGCATCTATTATTTGTGCTGTACATTTTTCTCATGCAAAACGTATGTATATATATGTATTACTTTTACAAACCTGGCTATACCCGAGCAGTAGCGTTGATTATATCTTGTGGCAGCCCCCTTCCAGCAGGCAGGATAATAATGCGATCTGCGCGTGGGCTTTAGTGTCGAGTGCAATTTTTGCTCAAAGTTATATTTATTTTGCGAGTCACAAACGGGGCAGCGCAAGGTCGGTGTGGATTTGTCCCCAGGTGGAGATGATGATCGAGAGGCTGCGGGAAGCCTTCATTCGCACGCTCGACGAGATGACGTGGATGGACGATCGGACACGAGCGAGGGCGCGCGAAAAGGTGCTCTCATGTGCAGCAATCCAACAGCACCCACCCCAGCCTGTCATGCATCGGGCTTCCTCAAAGGGACACATCCCTGGTGGAATTATTCAAATTTGGCAAATGTTGCAGTCGCCGACCACGATTGCAATTAATTTAAACTGAACAACATTTTTTTTTCCAGGTAAGGCCCACTGAGCTATGTAGCTCTTTTCGATTTAAAGCTTTCGTGACTGCAGGGATTCATCTTCTTGGTTATTTCGGTAAAGTCACGGATAAGGGAAATAATAAAGTAATAAAAATAAAACATAATAAAATAATATTATATATAATATATATTATAATATTTTTATATTATTTTATTTTATGATGTTTTATTTTTATTATTGTATTATTTCCCTTCTACGTGACTTTACCGAAAGAACCAAGAAGATATGTAGCTCTTTATTCAGAATCGACCTGGCCACAAATGACAGCTCAACCAAGTAGCTTGTTATCACGGGGACATTCATGGCAGCAGCCAAATACTCTCAACGCGTCTGTCTAAATGTGGAGGGAAAAACCGGAGGACCCTTACACAAATCCACGCGACCACGTGGAGAGAGACACGCAAACTCCAATTATCCAGCAGTTGTCAGGGTCGGGATCAAACCCACGCCCTCCTGCATAGCAGGCAAGGTAGTTAACATTGTTATAGGCGGTGAGACTCGGAGTTAATTGAAGCAGCCACAGCAGGTTTCTGTATCCATCGGGTTTAATTTAGTCAATAATGTAAAACAACAATGTAAAGTTATCCTACAAACAGCTTGACATATAGCGGAGAGCTAACCAGCCGTGCCCAAGGCAGCAGCTTGCCCGATCCCCAAATACACTTACCGATCACTGGCTCCAGCCCCCTTATATGGGTGGAAACCTCTCCCCAAATAAATGATGCCATCATTAAATCCAGCTGCTCACCAAATGCCCCGCTACTTGGGGAGACGCCGCACCGCCTGAGTGCAATCATCCCGGGTTTGGGGACCAGGAGCACGTGAACGTTCATACGCGGAGGCTGGGACAAGGGTAATAACGTCACGTGCTGTGTGTTGAACTTCTTTTCGCACCGTACGTAGCCAACCGTGCAAATTGGAGGTGCGGAGGGAGGAGAACAACCTGAACACAAAAAAGTTGTTCTCTAGAAAGGAGTTTGAATCGAGATGATTTTAAAGTGCATTGCTGCAGTGGCTTCCTCATATCGGAAGGAAATGGTGCTGGGGTTGGACAACAGGAGGTTAAAGGGGAGGATAACTAACGTACTGGAGGGAAAGAAAGGGGCAGGGGAGAGGGTGGAGGGAGTGAACCTGGGGGAGTCAGGGGACGTCACGAGATCTTTAACGTCCACACCGTGAAACAGACGCCGTGGTCGTATTTTACGGTTAATACCCAACGAGGTAAACTCCAGGGCGGCCTGTCGGGTGGGAACCGCGAACCGCGAACCTCTGCAACTTGCCAACGGCCCATTGTCCAACTGTCCCCTTTACCCAGCGGGGAGCCGCCATGCTATTGTCTGACCCTGTCTGCAGCGTTTCATTCTCTGTGTACATTCATCTTCCCTGCAAACTTTGGCGGATCACAATGTCCCGGGCAGTTGCATTGTTGTGAGGCTTTATTTCACAAATTGTGCCGCGAGATTTCCATTGCACGCAAGTAATTGACTCTCTGGAGGATGTATTTTCTTGTACACATCTGTTTTTTTTTCCTTCTTATTGTGTAGCAGTACTTGCGACTCCCTGCTAAAATGAGCAATTGAGCAGCACTTATTTTCTACAGCTGTCTGATGTATTTCCAGGTTTGTACTAATGTTCGTCGGCGCGATGTCCGACGTTTTGCTCCGCGTGCTTCAATTCTTGCTCTGTTCCTGAAGAAGCTCCCAGCACGTTGATCGAAACGTCGGACACCGTGCCAATTAACCAGCAGCGCAACCTGAAAGAAAAAACACCTCCAAGAGCTAAACAGCGCAAATGTGAAAAGCTACGCTTGTGGTGTTACTGATTTCTATTGTCGGCATGAGGCAGTTATGGACATTTGAAATCCCATGGGTGGGAGTTTAAAATACCTTTGGCAGCCAACCACATATTAACACACACACACATGCCTCAGTCACTTCTGTCACTACAAGAGGCCTCCTGCAGTGACGGAAGTGGATGAACATTCCATATTCATGACACAGTTTGCCATCTTTTACCCAGCACCTCCAATAAGCAAAGTTGGCTACGTACGATGCAAAATAAGTTCAATATAGTTTAACACGTAGGCTTTCGCGACCAATATCATCCATAATATAGGGTTTTTATGGGTTAGATTACGTAAATATTTAAACCCCTCCACCACCCGACACAGCCAACTAGTAAGGGTTGTCACGTAAACAGAACGTGCCAATTCGTCACTAGTGTGTAGTGTAGTGTATAGTGTAGTGTATAGTGTAGTGTATAGTAGTGTATAGTGTAGTGTATAGTGGAGTGTATAGTAGTGTCGTGTATAATAGTGTATAGTGTAGTGTATAGTGGTGTAGTGTATAGTGGAGTGTGTAGTAGTGTAGTGTATAGTGTAGTATACTAGTACAGCACACCGGTTGTGACATTTCGCCGATAATTTCAACTATCTTTATCAGGCAACAGCCAGATTTGTGGAGAAGTCCACCTGTTTCGTTCCTTATATAGATCCTACTACGTCAATATACATACTATGTTGAAATTATTCCCCTCTAATACCTGGTTAGTGCGGCTAAGATGCTTGGCAGTGACGGGTGTACATATATAAATATGTATAATTTGCGGGCCATTTCAAAAGCGGTAGGCCTCGTGACTGCAAGCAGTGCGAATCAAATTCACAAGCCATCAAAAACCCGCGGGTTGAAAGGTTCCCCACAAAATGGTACTCAATGTATTGACCCATGCTCCTGATGGATGATGGTCTAAATCGAGCACTGACCGCGATTTGAACTTGCGACCTTCCAATTGTGAATCAAGCGCTCAACCAAAACCCTACCTGGTCAGCTGGTACCATGAGATACCGACAGAGGGATGGATATAGATTGCAATAGATTCCTCTGCCTCGCGTTGCCACTAGAAATTGATCTCTGCTAGCCCGGTACAATCCCATCGCACAACCCTCACACTGGGGGCAAGATGTGCTCGCTATTGGCACCTTCCAGCGATGTATTGCCAATTATCTACATGGGCCTTGACTTGGTGGCCATGGTCAATGGAGAGCTGCTATTAGGCCGGATGAGTGTAACCGACATGGATCGGAAACGTGGACATTGAAAAAAAGGAAACTGAACAAAGGCTTAAGTGTGCAAAGAAGCACGGAGTGGTGCCATCCTTGGAGTCGGAAAAGAAAACACGTGGCTAACATGGCAGGTGTCGTGACGGGGTACTGCAAGATCTTACCATGTCTGTCCAGTCCTCGTCAAGCTGCATTGGCTTCCTAGTTTGCCGAACGAATGCGTTATAAGGTCGCACATGCGTTACACACAAAGTGGTTGCCAAAAATGAACCACAATACCTTGCTGATGTCGTCAAGAGCATAAACCATCGCGCAAACTCCGGTCATCCTGGCAGCGGCTTTTGACGAGCCATCGAACAAAGACGATTACCCCATCACGCACTTTCAGATGCGCTTCTGCGGCCGTCCGCAATGCTCTTCCGATGTTAGGAAGCGACTGGAGCTATGCAGTTTTAAATCTAGATTGAAAACGAATTACTTTAGAACTGTGTTTTGTTTTTAGTTTTTGTTGTCCTTCCCCCCACCCGCCGCACCTCCGATTAGCACGGTTGGCTACGTACGGTGCGAAAGAAGTTCAACGCACGCACATGCATACAGATAGGATAACAAAGGGACGTGATATTTGACTGTCACGACGAGTTTGTGTGCTCGGGGACAGACTCATTGTTCGGAGGGGGTGGTGGCCGATGGTTGATACTGACGAGGGAATTGCACCGTAGAGCAGTCCTTCTCAACCGGGGGTACGTGGACCCCTGGGGGTACGAAAGGTGATTTTTATAAACGTGTGAAATTATATCGTGCGTGAGAGTCATTGGTGAATACTCGTCTACGAACCAGCCTGCATAAAATATCTAGGATGACATTTTTATCTATTTGGAAACCTAAAACTGAATAACATACTTTTCTAAACACAATTGCGGTTTCCAAGAGTAACCAGTGAGCATGAACACATTTCCTTGCAGTTACTCGCTCGTTCGGGTACCTCGACAAATGGACAATTGGTTAATATATTGATGTTCGTTATTCATACATTTATTATCTCAGAACGATGTTGGCTCAGGCAAGGCGCGGGTCTCCTCGGTTGAGACAAAATTCAACAGGGGGGCTCGAGTAGCCAAACAAGGTTGAGAGCGACTGCCCTAGAGCACGGAGACGGAGGGATGAGATGAGGTCCGTGCCCAAAGGCGAGATGCATTCTTGAGTCATGAGACGCGTGATGGTGGGCAACGACTTGGTGATGCTTTCATCCAGCAGTGAATAAGTCATGGCCGATGCCCATAGTCAAAGTGTAGCCAATAGGCCGTTGTTGTTTTTTTTTCACCCTGACTTTCGTTCACAGGCGTTGGCCATCACCACTCAGATGGGGTACGCGGATTACATTGTGGACGAAAACAACCCCAGGCTTGACGAAGAGTACGCAGACGTAAGTAACTATCACCCCCGTTGTGCGCTCGACTCAATAACGTTACCAGTTAAGAGCCCACGCGTCTCTTTAGCAAGAGAGACATTGGGTCAATTGTGAGAATATTTTATTTTTAACAAGCATAGGCCTGCGTGTCTGTCTTTGCCTTGGTATATATGGGTGCGCAGTGGGGAGCACTGGTGGTGCATCCACAAGTCATTCCATTCGACTGGCCCTCAACACCTGGGTCTGCCCTGTGACCTCCCGTGCCCAGCGAGCCTTCGGCACTTCACGCTAGCCCCGTGTGTCGAGCATAGCAGACGTCACTGCCACTTAGTGGCCAACGATGGCTACTGTTAATATTAATTTTGAACGTGCAAGCGGACACGTATTCGTACTGTCGATATCACGTTCAATGTACGCACGTACGAGTGCATCGCTTTTGTCGCTCCACTGCTGGATGAGTGGCCTCCGCCATGCCGTACGGGCGTTATTCCGTTTCGCTGACTGGTGCCGAGAGCACAGGTGCTGCAGCATGGAAGCTTAGTACAACCACCATTGGAACCTCATTTGCCAGTAGAAAAATATGATAATTGTTTTTTTACCCTTTTATCTGGCAACAAAAATGACACCTTTTTTTACGAGGAGTCATGTTTGCATAGACCACAATACCTGCAGTCATAATGCAAACAAAAAACATAACTTTGATAATGTATGCACTGTCCTTGAAGTTGATTGGTCCACACCCGAGACAGCTTTTCTTAGAGCCTAGTCTCACATGGTGTTGGACCATATGACGCCAAAAGGCGCACAACGTGTGGACCAATCAACTTCAATGACAGTGCATACATTATCAGAGTTATGTTTTTTGTTTGCATTATGACTGCGGGTATTGTGGTCTATGCAAACATGACTCCTCGTAAAAAAAGGTGTCAGTTTTGTTGCCAGATAATAATAGAGTACAACCGTTGATTTGTGTTGTTGCACCCACCCCCTGTTGCCCGCCATGTGTAGTGGTGGCGTGACCCTGGGCTAACTTCGTAACCTATATGGCCATGTGTTTTATTTATGTGCTTTTTAAGTTGAACTACGATGAAGACGTGTATTTTGAAAACACCCTTCAAGATTTAGAATTCGCAGTGAAAAACGAATTAAAAAGGCTCCGACGAACAACCAGCAAGCAAGAGTAAGGTTTGAATGCGGTGATTGGTGGAGGATAATTGCAGATTCATCTTGCCTTGGTAAATCATTAATGAATGATAATTAGCATAACATTTTTTTTTCAAAGACTGTGATGAATACATTTTCATGGCTATGGACACGTAACAGGGATCCAACATTGTTTGCGTTTTGCGTGGCAATATTTAATCTTCACTGTTATTTAATATCATGATCACCAACATGATCACATTGTTTATTCACTGCTGAATGAAGGCCTCTGCATGCCCGCGCTCATCTCTCGTCCATCAGCCACCATTCCTTCCATAAATGTGGCCAGCCCAAGCCTACATATCCCACATTGATTAAGACTGCATCGGTTAATCACAATAAATACCTGAGTTGTGTTTGTTCCCCCCCCCCCATCCACGCGCAATATATTTGGTCTTTGACGCATTAAATATTAGCATGGTTGGCTTCGCACGGCGCGAAAGAAGCTCAACATACGTAAATACAAACTGTATATTGATGATTGTTGTATGAATTGCAAAAGGACAAATGACCCTCTAAACATGTATTATCATCTTTCTTTTTTAATATCACGATGATGAGTTTATGACCTCCACCATCGTCGTCATCATGATGGTTTTATGGTTTAGAAAATCGCTTTGATCGTTATTGTATGAAATATTGTGTTGTCCGTTTTCACAGGAATTGCGTTCATATGATCGTATTCATGTTTCTTATTTTAGGTGGGACATTGGCGCTGCAACAATAAATGCCTTTTACGACCCGAGCAAAAACCAGATCGGTAATGCATTTTCAGAGCAAATGATCGTGCAAATCCATTATTTACCAGAAGCGCACTTAGTAGGCATAGAAGCAAAATTCCTATTCGCTGCACGCACCAATTAATGTTGGCTACAAGCAGTGTGATTGAGGCAAGCGGCATCCAGGAGTGCATCTCATTTAATTAATCGCATTGCTCATTAGTGACGCAAATCTAGAGCGTATGCGGTTTCGCTGGCAAAACAACCACCTCGGCTGGAGTTGGTCGAATGTGCGCAAATTATATTGCTGGGTCAACTTGACACTGTCCTTCTTAATGTGCAATGTGAGTGTGACCCAGGAAATTATTACAGACCTGCTCACAGTCATTAAGCGGGGGCGGTGGGGGTGGGAGGGGGGTGGGCAGGGGTGGGGGGATTCATCATCAAGTGTTTATTTTTCCAGGGAAAATGTGAAAATGTTTAATGTCTCGTTTTAATAGAAAATGATACAAGCGAGGTCAAACACATTTTTAAAAGGGCTGTCGAATGTAGTTAAGAGAGCCCATACTGGGGACGTGTTTTGTACATTGTGTCCCACGATTAGTAATGGACACGTGGAACTTCACGTGATTCGTGACGTACATATGTTTCGGAAAAAAAAAACATTTTAAGCCTTTCATTGAAAATCTATAACCGCCACGCATATATACATATTTCACCAAATAAAATGCAAACAGTGCTACCTTTTACAACCATTGCACAATGAGATTCTCTTCCAAAGATGTGTGACCAGCGTGACAGCATGATCCACTGCCAGCCTTGCTGTCAGCAGTGACGTGAGCAAGCAGTCACAGGACTGCGCCTTAATCGTCATTTTATTTTTGTAACAACGAAAGAGAATTGCAGTATGCGTGCATTGTCATCCCCGCCTCGACTCACTAGCTCGTCTCCGCGCTCTCAACTGGCTCCCCATTGCCAGTAGGGTCACATACAAGACCGCCTGCCTCTGCCACAATGCCTTCACATCTGCCTGCCCGCCATATCTTTCTTCATTACTGACAACTTGCAGCTCAGCACACGGCAGATGCCTGCGCAGCGCGACTCACGACCTCCTCTCAATACCAAGATCCAGGATGGTCATGTCTACGCGCCGCTTCTCGGTGGCAGCCCCAACAGTCTGGAACGATATCCCTCTGCACATTCGCAGCATCACCTCAATCGCCTCCTTCAAGAGACACTTAAAAACTCACCTCTACAATCATGCTTTCGAGCGACTCTGAGCTTGGCTCCGCGCCTCTGAGTTGCGGCCACTACGTCTGCAAATTTGCGCGCGTTACAAATTGTATTGTTATTATTGTTAGCGCAACATAGTACAGGTGGAGGCTGCAGTGCTCTCCTGGCTAGGTTTCTACCCGCAAATGTAATTGTTGCTTCCTGCTGAATGCGTTTCAATCCACTCCCCACCAACGCAGTGTTCCCTGCGGGGATCCTGCAACCGCCCTTCTTCGGCCTGGGCCAGGCCATGTCCTTGAACTTTGGAGGCATCGGCATGGTGATCGGGCACGAGATAACCCACGGCTTCGACAACTTCGGTAAGACTTCACGGTGCAAACGTAAAAAAAGCGGGTCTGTGACGCCGTCTTCCTGAGCCTTTTTTTCCGATGCAAGCTGATGCACTGCTTCTGCTGTGAGTCCGAACAGAGGTGTGTTCACCACGTCACGTGACACATTGTGTTCACCACGTGACTAGACACAATGTGTTCATCTCGTCACGCGACACAATCTGTTCACCACGTGACGTGACACAATGTGTTCACCTCGTCACGTGACACAATGTGTTCACCTCGTCACGTGACACAATGTGTTCACCACGTGACGTGACACAATGTGTTCACCACGTGACGTGACACATTGTGTTCACCTCGTCACGTGACACGATGTGTTCACCACGTGACGCGACACAATGTGTTCACCTCGTGACGCGACACAATGTGTTCACCACGTGACGCGACACAATGTGTTCACCTCGTCACGTGACACATTGTGTTCACCACGTGACGTGACACATTGTGTTCACCACGTGACACGACTGGAATTTCGTGATTGAGAAAAAAGACAAAACACAAAAACTCAAGAAGACAAAATCAGAGCTCTAATTCTTTAAAGTTGTTATCGTCGACTCGTTTGTGGTTGAACACTTGGGCCTCTTAATAAAATGGCAGTAACCACAAAATCCTGCCTCCCGAAGGCAGGAAACCCCCGACAAGCCATGCCCAGCGTGGCGTGACCGATGAAGTCACTGAGCCCTGCCCATCACCTCCTCTCCAAATGGGTTCGGAGTTTTTGCGAATATAATCTTATTTGCAGGGTAATCGATTACTCTAACAATCGGATAGTTCAGCTTTAATCCGTTGTCAGGCACAATTCGATACGTTCATCGTGAGCATGAGAACTTATTGCAATCGATGGTCCGGATAGATTTCACCGTCACCCGTTGCGTAACTTTCACTTCTTGTCTGACGGCACGCGGTTTCTGCGATGCCTTCGCCAGGCCGTAAGTTCGACAAGGAGGGCAACCTCGTAGACTGGTGGACCGCCGAGTCTGATGAGGGCTTTGACTCGAGATCCAGGTGTCTGGTCAGTCAGTACAGCAGCTACACGTGGGACCTGGCTTCTGGACAAAATGTAAGTGACGCGCCCGCCACCTGGAGCTCACGGTTCCACGCTCGCGTCCTCCAGCTCACCGCGTCGTCGTTTTGTTGATATTTCAGTTGCTGAGCACAGATCCCCGAGGCTCACAGTGCCAACTGGTCGGCAACAAACAGCACGAATGAACGTGCAGTAGATATACTTTTCTTGATACGAGCGAGGTTATATTATCTTGGGGGAAATGAGAGACGATGATGGGAGGGAATTTCTCATGCGGGTGGTGCGGGGAAAGAGGAGTATATGGACCTTCAGTGTGGCGAGTGGGTGGGTGAGCGAGCGAGTGTGTGAATGCATGATTGGGTAGGTGAGTGAGTGAATGATTGGGTGGGTGTGTGAGTGAATGATTGGGTGGGTGATTGCGTGAATGAATGGTTGGTGTGAGTGAGTGAATGATTGGGTGGGTGAGTGAATGAATTGGGATGGTGAGTGAATGATTTGGATGGGTGAGTGAGTGAATGGTTGGGTGGGTGAGTGAATGGTTTGGTGGGTGAGTGAGTGAATGGTTGAGTGGGTGAGTGAGTGAATGATTGGATGAGTGAGTTATTGATTGGGTGGGTGAGTGAGTGAATGGTTTGGTGGGTGAGTGAGTGAATGGTTGAGTGGGTGAGTGAGTGAATGATTTGGTGGGTGAGTGATTTAATGATTGGGTGGGTGAGGTGAGTGTGTTATAGTGACCTGCAGTGTGGTGGCGGTTGAGCACAGTATGGATGAGACAAAACAATCAGCCTGGCAGACCAACTCCTCAAGACGGGTGGAATGGAATCAACAAGCGACTATAGATAAAGACTATGCCTTGTGGTTGCAGCAGTGTCTGCCAGGTGTATTTTAAAAAGCAAGCACTACGCGTGTAACATATATGGTGCTTTTAAATGGGTGGGTGGGGGAAGAGGTGAGTTCTGCAGGTAAACACCACTGGCTTTTTGAATTATAATCACCGTTTCACTGCCGTGCGTCAGGCGCAGTAACATGAACCGCAGTGGCTTTTTCCTTTCACCGCTTTGGAAGCTTCGCGCATTCAACAAGGGGCAGTGTTTCACTCACACGGTGTCTCAACGCGGTGGGTAATCACGTGCTGCAAATCGGCTCTGAGTGGCCGGAGCACAAACGGGAGCACAGAACTCCCACACGGCCGCTGTTTTTTTTAAAGCTTTCACGACGGTTGATCTCGCAAAAAGGAACGTTGCACCACGCGGACACGCGTGACGCGGCTCAGCGGTGGCGGCGATCGGCCGCTAGTTGCAGAGGTTCGCTTGCGCGAAACTAACGGCCGACCTGGTTGACCCTGTTACGTGTAATATGTAATAATAATAACAACGCTACGTGCCATCAGCTTCACTGTGGACGTCAAAGATCGCCCCCCCCCCCGTGACATCATTTGCAAGAGTAAGCCATTGCATATCAGCGTCAAAATCTAAATTTGCCAAAATGAAAAAAATTGCACCGCAAATTTACTCACCCATGACTGTCGATGGCAATCATCGCCCCATGCTGGCACACTGTGCCCCAGGTCACGCTTGCAAATGAGTCTCTTCCTAGTCTCTTGAACTCTCCCACCTGGTTAAGCAAAGTATACATCTCAATTTCAAACGCTTACGAAGACTAGAACTCTTCCAGATCGATGGTCCGTGCACGGAGCCAAAAGAAGGCCGCATCTTGTTGGGAGGATTGTGAAAGATTGCACGGGATGCTTTGGAGTTTAAATCGGCATCTGAGTGTGCATTTCACACATCGTCCTTTTTAAAATCCTTTATATTAAGTTCGCTTGCTTGCTTGCGTGCTTGCGTGCTTGCTTGCTTGCTTACGACCGTGCAAATCTTTCGGTCGTTTTTTAACCCACTTCCCGTGATCCAATCGAGCTGACATTTTGCACACAGACTCGTTGTGCGTGACAATTAATTTTCGTGAATTTTTTTTTCCAAAATTTTACACTGTTTAGGGAAAAACATTTAAATATTCAATTACCAATTGCTTAATGCTGGCAGACAATCATCTGACCCATAGGTGGCAGCCATCTCAAGCCAGAGGACGAGAGGACTCGAGCCGCCACGCATATAAAGGATTTAGAGTGAAAAACTTGGATTTTACGGGTTAATTTTTTTCATTAATCGGGTCTCTGAGCTCTGCATATGTGTGTGCGTCATCGAGCTTGAAGTGCAGTGGGGGAAATGAGGCTATGTTGAACTGATGTGAAATGAACAGGCTATATATATATATGACTGTGCTTGCCTTCAGTTCGGAGTGAATGTGGCACCACTCTTTATTGGCAGTCTTGATGAAAGTGAAACGCTTGAAAATGCATGAGGTCAGCATGAAGGTCGTTGAAAGTTAAAATCTGAGGCAAATTTTGCAATTTAGTGTTTTTATATTGAAAGATGTTGGTCGTGGGATTTGTAATTTTTTTGGCGGAGGCTATTTTGGGATTGAGAGTGAGCAGAATAAAAAGAAACATCCACACTATTTATGTACGTGATAGAAAAAAAATCAGAAATTTTCCCATCTGTGAGTCAGTCTGTTAATCACAGCGCTTGAGTTATTTTAACAGGGTTGATTAAAGTCGTTCTCCCTGTAAGGAACCAAGGAGCTGCGATTTTTGATGATGAGCAACGTAAGATATATGACCTTTGACCTATGTAAAAAAATAATACGGTTGAATGTTTTTACCTTGTTAATCCTGCATAGCTGTATACGTTTAGAGTTTCTTGATTTGAGAGTTGGGATAGATTTATAAAACGAAGAAACATCTAGGAACTCTGTGAGGAAGCAATCGAGTCTTTGCAGGGAACTTTTTAAAAAGATCATCATCAGCAGCAATGATATATCCACTGATGAAGTCATCCCCCCAGCATCATCACCATCCAGTACGCTTCTGCCCAAAGTTTCATCTCATTGCTACATCTCTGCAATCGTCATCCGATTAGCGCCGGTGGGTATGTGCGGTGTGACAAGTTAAACATACATACGTACTACCGGACGCGTTCTTTCATTTGTCTGAAATGCATTCACCGGTCTCGTCCATTGGGCCAGGATTCCTACCAGTGATGTGACCTGCCCATGGCCCCACTTGGCCCTTGGCTTATAGTTAAGGTACACGTGAGAAACACGTTCATCGATAGGAATGTCATTTGGGTGCCTTCACATTATCAGATAATGTGAACGCAATAACCTTTTGATACGTTGATTTATTTCCCCCCCACACCAACAACAACACAATTGTACTTCTCTTAAACGAGCTGTAATCATGAACGCATGAAGGTGCAGTGTTTTGGCAGTTGGTTCGAAGTGCTGATTTAATAAGCTGCTGAATCCAGACTGCCACCAATTACGAGAACCAAATCCCCGCAAGCGCGAGTCGGGTCCAGCATGGCTGTGTTCAGCTCGTGTTCGACATCAAGCCAGCAGAATGCATTGTAGATTGTAAGCTGGAAGCTATATTTGCAAAATCTAGCTCGGCCTTTAGGTTATTTCAAACACTTTTGGGTAAAAAAGTCGCTGAATCCGGTTATATTTGGAAACAAAAAATTATTTGCCGTGAACAGACTTCCCCTCCTCTTCCGGCACGTCTTGCCAACGTGGAAGAGTAGGCCAAGCGCCCTTTAGAGGGGCTGTAATGAGCTCGTTCTAGCGGGGGGGGGGGGCGGGGAGGCTTTCGCCAGTAGTGGTTTTAGGAGAAAAAAATTGCAGGGCTGCACCTTTACCTTGTATAGTGAGGTGATGTTTGTTAAACAACTGAATGTAAATTATCTCAAAGTAAGCTTGGTATGATGTTGTAAGGGGGGGTCTCTTTATCGTGTTGTTCTTGAGTACAGTGACATTAAAGTACGTTGTCTGAATACGTTAAAAGAGCCTAATGTGCGAATACCATTCCAGTCAACGTGAACAAACACTGAGCGAATCTTTCGATTTAAAGCTTTCGTGACTGCAGGGATTCATCTTCTTGGTTCTTTCGGTAAAGTCACGTAGAAGGGAAGTAATAAAATAATTAAAATAAAACACAATAAAATAATTCTCACAAATTATTTTATTCTCACAAATTATTTTATTGTGTTTTATTTTAATTATTTTATTACTTCCCTTCTACGTGACTTTACCGAAAGAACCAAGAAGATGAATAATTAAAATAAAACACAATAAAATAATTCTCACAAATTATTTTATTGTGTTTTATTTTAATTATTTTCTTACTTCCCTTCTACGTGACTTTACCGAAAGAACCAAGAAGACTGAGCGAATCGTTGAAGTGTTGTTTCGAATGATTCCTTCCGATACGGTCACTGAAACGTCACGTTAAGCACGCGCCACGTCACGGAGTGTCACGCCGCGTTTACACAACCGGTGTGGGGCAGAAGCGGATGTCAGTGGACCCGGAAAGAATGACAGTCGCTTGGTCAATGTGGTGACTCAGGTCACGCACGCAAACGAGACTCCTTTGATGGTCTCTTGACTTCTCGCCCGGGAGTAAAACAAAAAACAGCGTCAACTTGAAACTTGGTCCTGCTTTACAGCAAGTGTAACATTGCACGTCAGATAGTGTTTAAGATAAGGGGTGCGGTTATTGAAAGTGGTGGTGTAGTCATGGTCGTGGTGGTGGTGTAGTCTCACACACAGAACCATCGACTCGCATAGAGACCCACTGAGAGGCTGATATGTTCTGGAAGTGGCTTCATCGTCATGGCTTTCTGCACCAGATGATACTAGGAAAACCATAACAGGTGGCAACCCTGCTCAGAGCCCGACTGTGTTCTTATACATGCTTACAAGCACTATACTCTTTCTTTTTTTCGGTAAAGTCACGTAGGTGAAAATAAAATTTAATAACAATGAAATAAAATGAAAACAACAGAAAATGAAAACAATTAAATGTATTTGTTTTCATTTTTATTTAATTTTTATTTTCACCTACGTGACTTTACCGATTAAACCCAAAGGGTATGGAGCCTTGCAGTCACAAAAACTTCAAATCTAGTATCTTCCAAGCACTGTTTACAAGTTCACAGTTTCGTGTGTATTTAACCACAACCCACGCAAGACTTCAATTAAACAAATTCCGTTTTCTCGGCGGAGGCGTTAATCCAGCAGTGGTTTGACCACGACTGATGGTGAGGAGGACTTGATCCTCTTAAGGTATTCACATGCAGTGCTCATCCTGCTTAAACTTCACAGGAACAGAATGTTTGGTGACGTTTTCAGTTGGATGACTGCCAATTCCCAGTATGTGTGTTTGTTTGTGCTGTACTTTACTTCATTTGTAAGAAAATACTGTCACTTTTAAACACTGAATAATGCATTCAGGCATGCACTGTGGCAAGCGTGCCCTACGTGGGCTGACGTTTATTTTAATTCACGAGGATAAAAATGTAATATTTATATGTATAAAGAAGGAAAGTACAAGTTGTTAAACGTCTCTCGCCTGTTAATGTAAACGTCGATGACTGTCAGTCTGGTTTTCGAGTTAAAGTGAATTTTTTTTCCGGCTATTTTGAAGTCAAATAACGTCAACGTAACATTTCCCGTGAAAATAATGACCTTCAATTAATGATCATATTCGCAAAATTTTACCAAATATTCAAATTTATCTGCAGTGGTGTTCACGGTTTACAAACTGGTCTTGCAATCCAGCGGTCTCTGCCGGTCCGAATCAGTCTCCTGGTGCGGCGGTTGATGCAATCGACAGGTCTGGCCATCGTGGAAGAGTAGGCCAAATCACCGCAACGTCATAGGCTTCGTCGTCGAGGGCACAGTGGCGTGCAAGCGAGCGGCCGCGCGGCTAAGGCATGACCCTTGACCAGGCATTGAATTCGTTCTGTCGGGCCCCGTCCCTGGCATGTGTGGACGCTTCGTTGGCGAGAGGCGACCGCTGCTTCGTTAGATGTTGGCTTCTCAGCTCCGCCGTGTGTCCCATTCAAGCCACGGGTGAGAGCCCACGCGGAGACTTCAGATGATAATTAACATCCACGCCGATGCACTCTGCCGGTACGGTGGTGCTGGTGGTGGCGGCAGCCGCTAACCGCTACACTACCACTTCACACTACCACTCCACACTAAACGCTGCACAACCTCTGCGTGGCACATCTGTGTCGTGATTTGCGCGGCCACCACGTCGTAATGGACTTGTGTTCTTCTAGAAGTGAAGTGCGCGTTCGCGGCACGTGTCTTCCTGGACTGCACCGCGCGATGTTGTTGTCGCTTGTGCGTTTTCGTGGCAAGTTGGCACAGGCGGTGCATCTGCCACTCATCTCAGTCAGTCGACCCATGGACACCTGGGTCTGTGGCGTGACCTCCTTCCAGTGGGCATTCGACATTTCACGTGGCCTTAAAGTGCACATAGCCTGGCACAAGCGCCGTGGTGATATCGCCGCCACTCAGTGGCGAATGGCGTTTGTTGTTGTTGGAGTGGAAGTATAGCGGTTAGCGCACTGCGCTACGAACCCGGCAACACGAATTCGAACCGTAGGTTGACTCCGCATCAAATGAGTACCTGGTACAGTGTGTAGTAAACATCGCCACTCGGGAGACAAAGGCGGCCGGGCGTGGTGCACGCCAGCCGTCGTGTGCCTTTAATAGGCGCTCGCAAACAGCACTTTCCCAGACAGTCTGTTAAGGCTTATCCAGGAGTGAGTGGGTGTTTAGGCGGGATTTTTGTCTTTGTGTGTGTGTGTGTGCGCGCGTGTGGTATATGTAATGCGCGTGCGTTTGACTCCTCCAGCTCAGCGGAGTGAAGACCCTGGGAGAAAACATTGCGGACAACGGCGGCGTTCGCCATGCCTACTGGGTAATGAGAGACATTCCTCGCGCTGTCAGTCGACAGATGATTAATTTAAATGATGCCGTGGAAGGAAATGAGTGGTTAGAATAAAACATGTAAGAGCTGGCGCGGCTGTACTCAGGCGATGGGGGGGGGGGGTCAGCTCAGGCAGTTCTCCTGTGGAGGGAGTATTCCGACTTGGATAATGATCATCATGCTTTATGGCATATACCGAGTTCCCTGCCTCGCGAATTATAAATGCACCTTTAAAAAATGCAAAAGGTCATCAACATGCTCAGGTTGTACGGCGTGCGATGTCGCGGATAATCTCGCCGCATTGTTGAGCGGGCGTGATTCGGACGATCGCAGTGTGGAGTATGTGCAATGCCACCGCTTCCGTGGAGCAGTGTGCATGCACATCACTCGTATGCACGTACAATGATGATTTGGATGTGTATATTATCTTCATACAGCGCCATCTCAAGATGCTCTGTCTAAACACTTCCAAAGGCTAATGAAGTTGCCCAATGATAGAGCGAATTCATAATCCCAGTTTGGTGGTTGAACTCGGCCCATCATCATCATCATTCGAGGATCAATAAAATGGGTACCACTTTGCACATAAGTCAACAGTGGTTGTCCTATGGATGAACTCGCCCTCACCATAGGAATGTGGAATTTCCACTGCTGGTTTGGCAGGGCTGTGCTCAGTCGATGAGCACCACGCATTAAGACTGCCGGCAGGTGACATGCGTACGGCTACAGCGCGCGTGCGTGTGTACGTGTATGTGTGTACGTGTGTATGTGTGTACGTGTGTATGGGTATACGTGTGTATGTGTGTACGTGTGTATGGGTGTACGTGTGTATGGGTGCGGTAGTGTAGCGGTTAGCGCGCTGCACTACGAACCTGGCGACACGGGTTCGATTCCCGCTCACGTCCAACACCAGTGGCGATTATCTGAACCGGTCCTGGGCCTCCCCTAGGTCGACTCAGCTTCAATTGAATTCCTAGTGTGGTGTGTAAACATCGCCACTGGGGTGACAAAAGTCGACCGGGCATGGTGCTGGCCACCCACCCCATCGTGTGCCTTCATGGCTACTACTCACTAACAGCACTTACCCCAACGGTCTGTTAAGGCTATACCGGAGAAGGGGGATGTTTATCTTTATGCGTTTGTCGGCTGCTCTTGTGTCGCAGGCATACAGACGCTGGGTCGAGGAGCACGGGGAAGAGGCGCGCCTCCCCGGCCTCGCGCTGAATCACAAGCAGCTCTTCTTCCTCAACTTCGCCCAGGTACGCGAACGTCACCCGGGGCTCATGCGCAGGAGGTGCTCGCCGCCTCTCTAGATGGAGCGTCTTGTATGTTTGTCTGTAGAGCAATCAGCAGGCCTAATTACCTTGCCTGGTATACAGGAGGTCGTGGGTTTGATCCCCATGGTGGTGTGGATTTTTATCCGGGTCCTCCAGTTGAGCTATCATTAGTGCTCTTTGGTTCTTTTGGTAAAGTCACGTAGAAAGAAAATTAATTAAGTAATAGAATACGACATTTCGATTTCAACACAAGCAATCGTCATCAGGTAGAACTAAATTTGAGAGAGAGACAAAACACAGACACGGAGACACAGACACAAGCAGAGAGACACAAAGACTCACAGTGGGCCTTATCTGGTAAAATTATAAATAGTTCAGCAATTTAGTTTAAAACTATCCTTAACTGCCCCCCCCCACCATTCCTCCAATCCCATCCAATTAGATGAAGGCACCTCCAATTATCACGGTTGGTTACATACGGTGCGAACGAAATTCAACACACGTACATACTTGTGTGGCAGAGTTCACGGTAAAAAATTGCGGAGTTGTAAAAAGATCGGGTAAAACCACATTGCAGCAACATTGCCCCCCTACCGGGAGATTATATATATATATAATCGCGCATGCAACGTTGTGTGTGGATACCAAATGTACTCATTCTTATTACTACAATTGCTTACTCAGGAAAAGCCTCTCCGAGTTCAAAGACTCCTTTCCAGGAAGGTACTGCGAAGGTTTTTGCTCAGTACAAGGCGATGTTGATTTGTGTAAATCCCAATTTCAGTCACGTATTAATTGGCACTGGCATGTTTGTCCAATTCCTATTACATTGTACCTTTGTTTATTTGTTTTAAACAATGGAATGGAACTGGAGAACCCAGCGAAAGCCCATACCATACAGGGGGAGAGAACATCCAAACTCCACACAGAAAGGTTTCCTGAGTCAGGATTCCAACCCAAGCCCTTCTTGCTGTGATGTGCAAGCGTTACCATTACTCCACCCTGCGCCCACATAATTGCTGAAAATCAAGATAATAACCCTAACCTTGACCGCCACTTTTTCAATCTCCTATTTTCTACCCATTAACCTTGCTTCCTGGGCCTCAAACTCCATTTTTTTTACACAGCAGCTATTTTTTTTTAACAGAGCAGCTGTGTTTTTTTCATATCGCACCATCGTGCTGCAAAAATCTCAAAGCGCCGTTCAAGTAGCGACAAAACGACAGAGTGAACTGCACTGGCCAGTAGAGGGCGTGTGACCTCCTGACAATTTGGGGTTCAAGACATTACAATTACGTCACGATCTTTCTCAGAAAAAATTAAAGGCACATTTTCATTTATTTCTGAGCTAAATAGTCATTTTTCTCGAAACGACCTGGCCACAAATGATAGCTCAACGAAGTGGCTTATCATCATGTGGAAAGGTATTGCAGCAGCAAAATACTCTAAAACTCATGTTTCTCAATGTGGGGGGAATAACTGGAGGACCCGGAGAAAAATTCACATGACCACGGGGAGAGAGACGCGCAAACTCCAAATATACAACAGGGATCGAACCCACGACATTCTCTACACCAGGTGAGGTAGTTAACATGTCCTAGCCACCGTGATGATGATGAGCGAGAAACCACACAAACTCCAAATATACAGCAGCAGGCGTTAGGGTCGGGATCGAACCCACACAACCTTCACTACACCAGGCGAGGTAGTTAACATCTCCTAGCCACCATGATGATGATGAGCGAGAAAACACGCAAACTCCAAATATACAGTAGCAGGCGTCAGGGTCGGGATCGAACCCACGACCTCCTGTATATCAGGCGAGGTAGTTAACACCTCGCCACCACATTCGCGACTAAACGTCCGCCTTCAACGCCTCCACAGTTGTTGTGTCCACAGTTGTATCCGCCGTTGTGTCCACCCATCAAAACACAATTGCCAACGAATCCGCGCGCAAAATATTTGCCGCAGACGCTGCATGGAGCCCTCGCCGTGCATTCATCCTCCCAGCCGCTCCACCCCCCACCCACCCACCCACCACCAACTCCCGTCACACTCAGTGGAGAAGCACGGTGGTAAAGATGTCCAGAGTCGATTCGAAAATAGGTGCTCATTAAAGCGTGGCTAAAATGTCCACTTAAAAATTGTTGACACTCAAAAATATCTATGAAGTATGTGGTTGTGTTTTAAGAAAAATCGGAGAGTGGCGGCGAATGTTACAGGAATTATACAATCTCAGAAGGCCGTGTGGCCGACGTTTTGTATTTATTACGTTGAGGGACAGATGTGTCACGGAGGCGTATCATTTTGCTTATTCTTGTGTTTTACACTTAACTTATTTTGTTGGTTAAACGTGTGTATGCATAGAGGGTGTTCTGACAGCCGCTCGAATGAGTTCAAGCAATAGAATGTTGATCGAGTTTCTCTTTGAAAAACAGGCCTCTCAGTTATTTGCTTATCGTTATATATTTTTTGTCTGCTTATTGTTCGCATATGTGGGGATAATCTCCATCTGTTCCATTCGTATGGGAGAGAGTATTGCGTGGGGTTTCTCCGGGAACTGCAGCTTCCTCCCAGATGTGTGAACACTCATTGATTGGCCGATAACGCCTGAATAAAGAGGGGGCTGCAGAGCTTGGGAAATCGTTGGCAGCACCGCCTGGCCGTTACCTTCCAGCTTGTTCGTGGTTCCTTCTCTCGGTTCCGAGTCTTTCTCTATCGCTTCGAGAGCGAGCGGACACGGTGTAGTGCGTTACAAGTTTAATTTATTATTCGCATCATCATCATGTTTTTACGCTCGTGTTGCGTGTTTTCATGCACGACCACTGTTAAAGTAAAAATTATAATAACGTAAGCAATTCCAATAAGTTACAATGGCTTACCGAATGTACGAACAAAACATGCGTTGGACAGAGATGGCAACACTGTGTAGTTGGGTGACTCTGCTGCGTCTCGTGGTTGCTGTCTCCGATGCGCTTCCGGGTCGCACCACGTGTTGTCCGGCGCGATGTCCGACGTTTAATTTCGCGTGCCGGGAGCATCTCCACTGTTCGTGTATATATGCACGTTGAACTTCTTTCGCACCGTACGTAGCAAGCCGTTCTCTTCGGAGGTGCGGGGGGAAGGACAACAAACTGAACACAAAAAGCGGTCCTGAAGAATGAGTGTTTCTATTTCGATAACTTCAAAGTGCATAGCTCCAGTGGCTTCGTAACATCTAATGTAGAAGTAAGAGCGTTCCAGACGGCCGCAGAAGAAGCCGTCCACAGCGAGTGAACCTTCGTTGTCACTTGAAAGCATAAGAGGAGAGGTGCATAAGTAAGCAAACTAATCGATTAATTAAATAAGCTACGCTAAAATGAATACACCAATTGTGTGCAAATGGCTTGCTCATCTTTCACTCACCGCTCCCAGGTCTGGTGTGGTTTGCATCGGCCAGAGTTTGCGAGCAGCATGATAAAGGCAGATGTCCACAGTCCGGGCTTGTTCAGGTGAGCAAAAAATCTAAGTATGTGTATGTATCTTTCAGGTATTGATAGTACAGTTCTTTGCAAAGTGTACTATTATGCTGTATTCTATGATTTAAAAAAACAAAAAAAGGTCAAAACTACTGACCCCACAGATGCAGGCCATGAAAATCTGTCTTATATTTCACTTGACCTGACATACCTGCGCCGAGAAGAATCGTCTTCGGTAATACTTGCCCCTAACCGCGGCCCCCTAACCCTAAACCATAACTTTAAACCACAAATTATATCCCTTGCTCCGAAAGCCCAAACACTAAAACCCAACCCGAAATAATTCACCCGCAACGAGGATTAAAGAAGCGTCAAACCCTACATATTTCATCGCCAGAAACCCAAGGGGGCTCAGTGATTGGATGAGACCCTTTGTCTACGATTGGATAAACATAGGCGGGGACAATGGTGCCACGTACGCAGTTTGTTTCCCATGCATTTGCCTGGTATGGTAGTAGTCACTTCCTAAACAGAAATATAGACTGTGTGCTATTCAGCCGCTTGTTTTTTTTTGTAATATATGTACGTGTTTTTCTTTTCTTTTTCTCGCCTTTCCAGAGTCATTGGGACCTTGCAAAACTTTCAGGAATTTTCCGACGCCTTTCAGTGCAAGCACGGCGATTACATGCACCCAGCTCAAAAATGCCGCGTTTGGTGACAAGGCAAGATAAAGATGACCTGTATAGCCTCAACAGACTTTTGGGGGAAACGCTATTGGCGGGCACCTATGAAGGCCAGCATCGGCACACGAGGGGGTGGGTAGCCAGCACTGCACCCGGTGGCGATGTTTACACACCGCACTGGGTACTCATTTGTGGCTGAGTCGACCTAGGGTAGGCCCAAGACCAGTTCACATAATTTCCACATGTATTGCTTTTTTGGTCGTGAGCTGGAATCGAACTCGGGTCGCTGGGTTCGTAGTGCAGTGCGTTAACCACTGTGGGATTAGTGGTCTGGTGACCAGACCCCCCCCCACACACACACACACACCCACACACTGTGTAAAAATAAAACAAATACTTGTTTTATTTTGCAATGATTGAGCAAGATGTTGTTTTCGTGTATGTGTCAGTATCTTTCCAGACTTACTTTCCTTTAAACGTTGTCACATCCAGCAAACAACTTGAGACTGTGGAACAGTAACTGCACATTCCCGGGAATTTGAAAAAAAAATGTATATTATGTGCCCAACGTTTGCTTAAGTTATTGTCGAACACCTGCTACTCCGATTGTATATACAATACATATATATGTACCAGCAATGATGTACGATCCTCACCCTTTAGATCTCGTTAATAATAATAATAGCAAAGATAATAAAAACTCCAGTGCCTTTTAACAAAGTTAAAGTTGGTTCCTGTTCAGGTGACATAGGGCGACTCTCGTACGAATATGTAAACGGTCAGGAACAGATTTCAAATGCAATGGTGTGATCCATGAGAACAGGTTTTTTTTTTCGGTCGCGAAAGGCCTACGTGTTAAGCAATGGTGTGACTTCACGGGAAAGCTAGACTATGGTACGGGCTCGTTTTGCTTGCGCGCCATATGCACACACCCTCTGTCTTATTACCATCGGTGTGTCCACGCATCGTTACATTGCTCCATGGGAAACGTCTGTGTCCTGCATACTTGTATGTACTGCTTTGAATGTGTAGTCTTGCAACGTGAGCAAGAGGGCGAGCGAACTTATGTATATGGCTAACTTTGTTGTCCTTCCCAAGTGCCTCCGATTAGATCGCGTGTATGTGTGTATGTTTAACTTCTTTCACACCGTACGTAAGCAACCGCGCTAATCAGAGATGCAGGGGAAGGACAACAAACTAAACACGAAAAGCAGTTGTAAAGGAATGAGTTTCAATTCCAGATTTTAAAGTGCATAGCTCCAGTGACATCCTACTATTGGTTGGCTACGTATGGTGTGAAAGAAGTTCAACACACATATATAACTCTTTCTTGGGAGCATATGTAGTTGTTGCCGTACATTATATTTTCATACTCGATTTTGTAAATGTAAACCAAGACAAATTTAACACGAGGATTTCACCGCAAGCATCTCGGGATTACGGTGTGACTAACCATGAAAGCGTTTCAAAAGAGAAAAATAGATGGCATTAAAAGTATAAAAAATAATCGCGCCTGCTCGTGTCAGTCTGTTAGCCCTGAGCATTCCCGGCAATATGTGTGTCACGAACAGCGAGGCCTGTGTTGTAACGGCGAACAACAAGACACGTCAAATAAAACGGCAATATATTACCTTGAAGGAGAATTGGGGTTGGTGCTCACTTCCTTTGGCACCACTGGGACAGGGGGTGGACATTTCGCATTACTACATCAGGAGTGAATATTTCCACAGAATGTTAACTCGTGACTTCTCACAAAGTGGTTACCCATTCTTGCTTAATTGGATCGACGCTCGATCGGGATTTCAACTCGGTGAGTTGGAGGGATGACGCAATCACCAAACATCGTGTCGATTTGTGCACAGTTGACGAGCGCACAGATCACGACGCGGCTCTCAATGACACCGCCGTAGGCCCACGTCGCTGAAAAGTACAATTAATTAAAAACATTCCACGGCTTCTTCAGGAACTGAGGGCGAAACGTCGGTCACCGCGCCGAACAGCAACATTCGGCACAACGCGAAAACTCACCAGAGGAGAGCCGCAAGGCACGACTACTAAAAACCTGCACCATGAGATCTAACGAGATCAGGCACAATCGTGTCGATAAAGGATTAGGTAGGATTTGTGTTCCCGTAATGCAGACGCTACTGATTGAACTCTGACCGCAACTGTGTCAATGTTGGCAATGAAACGGGCGTGGAGGTGCGTTTCTGGGCGCGATCGTCGAAGTGTGTTCATCCGCGACGGGGGCGTTGGTCGCCCCCTTGAATCGCCGCGACAGGCTGCAATCAGCGACTGCTCGCACCCATTTGGGCAAGCTTCCAGTGGCTCTGTGTGGGCGGCGAGGGGAGACACGCTTGTGTTCACCTGGGGATATTTACACGAGCGAGTAGAGGGGGAGCGGCTAATCCTCTGCCACAATTATCGGAGATCAAAAGGCCTTCAATTTAATAGGAACTTCATGTAGCCTGGTCTGAAAAAAAATTTTAATGCTCAATTCCAAATCTTATCCACGGTACCTCTCTGGCCTCCCTGTGCCATATGAAGAAGGACCATTGCCTGAAACGTCACCTATTATATACTTTTAGCATTTTCGGCCACAGTGTTGTTGCTGAATGTGTTGCATTTGTTACGTGTATTTGTGGTTGTGCGCCACTGTCAATGTCGGTGTCGCCAAAATGTTTGTATCCAACACAGAGGACCCTGCATACTTTTAAAGGGGTGTGGTGGGAGTAATGCTCATTCAGGCTCTGGTTGATTGGTGGAGGATAAATAAAGTAATGTCAATGTTGAGTGGTTGCAGAAAGCTCTCTACTTGCATTGGCATGCACACTGTGCATGCTCAAGTAAAATAAGAATGGTTTGTTTGTCATAGTGCTGCCCTCCTTTACGCCGGGACACATCGTAGGGCTTTACACGCGATGGGGAACTGGCATCGCAGCTCGAATATACGACAGGGCACCCCCAGGGTCAGCTGTCCGTGTGCAGCACTGACTGACTCAGGGCCTGGCCTGCAAGCTGGACGCTAATCTGTCAGTAGGGCGAAGGGTGTTGAAGGGGGGGGGGGGGGGGGGTTGCTGCTGTTTGTATTTCCAAGCGAATAATGTTCCGGTTGTTGCTGAATGTGGACCACGATGCTGGCACGCAATGGCCCGCTCGATGTGGTCCAAATGCCCGCGTTCCCGTGACCACTCGGAAGGGTGATGCCGACTCGGATCGCGAACCCGGGGCTCGTTGGCCCCGGTTCACGTGAGGAAGGGGCCCAATTTGGGGCCAGGCCGATGCCACGTCTGGGTTTGGAAAGTTGGGGCCGGGAGGGGTGCAATGGGCCTGGCCGTTTGGGTGCCCCGAAGCAAAAATGTGTTACATGTGGGGGCACAGATCCCCAGGGCCGCGTTGCTGACCCTGAAACACAAACGGAGGTCATTCCTGGCCCACCAAGCTGGGTTGCCAGTGATGGGGCGAATGTCACACAGCAAGACTAGGATACCACTGGATATGTGCCACAGCCTCGTGTGAGACTCATCTTCAGTGCTTCTGTTCCTGATGTATATCTCATCAAGAAAATCACATGTGTCGGTGTTGGTAGTGACGTATTTACAGTGATTAGTAGGTGTGGATGTATGCATCGATTAATCTGTAAATATTGATCCTGTAGGTAACTAAAAATGTGTCATTGTGCCTGTGAATATTTATATTTAATTGGGGTTATGTCATGCCTCCAGCTACTAAAGGAGCTCCCATTCATCAGTATCTAAAAAAACAAATCCTCAATAGCATTATAACCTCTGAATCATCAATATCATTCTGTGGTTCCTTCGGTAAAGTCACGTAGAAATAAATGAAATAAGAATAGAATATGACGTTTCTTTTGCAACACAAGCATCCTTCATCAGGTACAAATGAATGAGAAAACAACCATAGTCAACTTGGAAATATAATGCAATACAACACAGAGAGTCGGCCAACAAAACTGTCAACACCCACATGGTTGTTTACGTTCTTCCAAAAGATTAATACATTTGTTGTAATGCATTATATTTACTATTTGACTATGTTTGTTTTATTTTGATTTAAAGCTTTCGTGACTGCAGGGATTCATATTCTTGGTTCTTTCGGTAAAGTCACGTAGAAGGGAAATAATAAAAGAATACAAATATAAAACAATGTATATATACTTTTTATTGTTATATATTTGTATTACTTTATTATTTCCCTTCTATGTGGCTTTACCGAAAGAACCACGAATATGTTTGCTTTCTCATTCATTTGTACCTGATGATGGTTGCTTGTGTTTCAATCGAAACGTCGTATTCCATTATTAATTTAATTTCTTTCTCCGTGACTTTACCGAAAGAACCAACGAGTAATTCCTGCAGTCACGAAAGCTTCGAATCTAGTTCCACCCCTATCATTTTCATCCCCGGGGTCAAATATTTACACCCTCCGTAATCTCGGTGACGATTCTAACTGCGTTGCGTGAAAATATTCCCTTTCTAAAAAAAAAAAACACCCCACCTCCAACTCACGGTCCCATCTACTGGGCATCCTCTCTGACATGCCACAACACCCTGAGTTCCTCCTCACCGCCTCGTGCCACAGTTGAGCCTTGCGTGACCTTCTAGCTGCCCACTCGACCTCTGCGTGAGCCGCGCGTCACGGTGTCGCACAACGTTGGAGTGCCGCACTCGCCCGGCGTGGCAGTCAAACATGCAACAACAACTCACGGCCGCAGCGTCAATCTTTCGTCGTGGCTCTGGCCGTGACTTTTCAGTGCGGTTGATAAGTTTTTTTAAAATAATTTTTACCCTCTTCAAATGTACGTGCGTAACCCTCGTCGCAAGATAATGTCTCGTTTTATTGGACGGTAACAGCAAAACACATGGCGTTGCTGATGCGATGCAACGTTTCCCTGTAAATGGTTGAGCTTTTAAAATTTCCATCGCCAATGTTGATTGCGTCACAAGCCATCGCTCATTGTTGAAGTCGTTTTTTTTATTTTTTTCATTGATTCCAAAGGTTGCTTTAGCCACAACATCCATTTTAAAGTAACAGATTGGTTAGAAATAAAAACCAGACGAGGGAGTGTTTGTACTCCGACCTCTTCGAAGTTGTTATGGCCAGTGTGGAAGAGTAGGCCAAAATATTTCTAAAATTTGGTTCTCTTAATCTCCCTCTAGCGGGGGCAATGATTTAAGCAGTCGAAATATCAGGGCTGCACCTTTACCTGCATATAAGGTTACTGAATGTATGTGTGTCGAACTTCTTTCGCACCATACGTAGCGAAAACGAAGTTTTTGATCTAGATGGAAAAGTGGCTTCCTAATATCAGAAGGAAGAGCGTTCCAGACGGCCGCAGAAGCGCATCTGAAAGCGCGCGATGCGGTGACCGTCTTTGTTCGATGGCCAGCCAAAAGCTGCTGCTGCGTCAAGGATGACCGGAGTTCGTGTGATTATTTGTGCTCCTTGACGAGATCAAACTGTTACTGAAGAAAACTCTCTGATGCCATCGATTTAACGGTTTTATAGATAGCTCCTGTGAAGAACATTTTCAATTTAAAATAGCTGCAATTTGCTCATTTTGATCAGGTATATCATTGCATAGACAATATATATTATGACATAATGTTACAATACAGTAGGAACTTTTATGTGTGTGTTATTTAGCTTTTTTGTTGTTTTTTTACTACACGTTTCATAATGCAGTGGTTAATCATGAAAAGGGAGGAAATTGACTTCTAAAACTTCGATCGCCGGGGAAATCTATCACAAGAAAACCACGAACCAAACCGCCGCAAACTCCCACATTCTCTACGTGCCGTTGTCCACGTGCTCGCATTCTCCAGGACAAATCCCAGGCCGACGATTGCCGTTTGTTATTACTCAACCTCGCCACTGCAGAGAATGGCAACGCTCGTGGCTCATAGCAAGTAGGCACCCGGTTCGATTCCTGCCTGCGGGCGCCTCCTTTCTCCGCGTGGTGTTTGTGCGTTCTCTTCCTGTTCTGCGTGGTTTTCCTTCAGTCTGTCCGGTTTCCTGTCATGGCTACTACGCCTATTGTTGCGTACGATGGCGAAATGTTCCGGAGCTAAATGCTGGTCACGACGAGAGGGCTTCAGGAAAGAGGGACTCAGTCGTGGAGCTTTGCTGCTCCTCCTCCGCCTTTGAAGGAGTGTCGACTACAGAGGTTCGCTACGTGGCCCACTGTGTGTTGCACGGCCACTACCCCAATAGCTAAACACATACAATTTAGTTGGTCTCCTGAAAATCAACGTCTTCCGACTCAGCGTAGCATTCCTGAGTAAAGTCACGTAGAAGGGAAATAATAAAATAATAAAAATAAAACAATAAAATAATCCTCACTACGTTTAGGCCACAACGCAAGCAGCCGTCATCAGGTGAAGAACAGTTCTGTTGGAAAGACAGCGTCTCATTCAGACAGGTCTGTCGGAAAGACAGCATCTCATTCAGACGCTGTCTTTCCGACAGACGTCGTGAGAATAATTTTATTATGTTTTATTTTTATTATTTTATTATTTCCCTTCTACGTGACTTTAC